CATGAGCTGGAGGCGCAAGCACCCAAGCAGCCCACGCTCACCTTTCTGCCATTTGAAAACTTACTCTGTAGGGGCTGTTGTGTTCAAATCCTGCTTTGCATAGGGGAAAAAAAGCCTTAAGAGACAGAGAGAATGTAACAGCAAATTAAGAGAACGAGGCCACCCTTCCTGTAGCCATGGAGCAGTAATAAGTTTTTGTTTCTCCTTTTCTGACAAGAGTGGTTGATGTGAAAAATATTTATAGTGCTGTGTGAAAGAGCCTCCATTCTGTTTGAGTGGCATAAAAAAAATAAAAATATACTTGTGAAGCTGCCTGCCCTCCTCAATTCATTAGCTAGCAGAGCAGCATTGCAAATCCCCACCCGGAGCAAGCGTGGGGCTGCGAGCCCACTGGGACGCAGGCAGCGCCGGCACCGGAGCCCCGCGGCTCCCCAGGCCCCTGAACACATCCACCCCGCTTTGCTTTTACGTTTTATTAAATACATCTCAGCTGCAGAAGCCCGTTTATTCATTCTCCTCGCTGCGCAGTCTGGCGTTGGGATTGGTGATCTTGATGGCGAGCTGAGCGGCTCTCTCCACGATCACCTTCCTGTTCTTGGAGGAGACGTTGTGAGCGATCTCTGCGCAGTAGGACCTGTCGGGAACAGGCGGGGCCTGGGGCTCAGCCCGGCAGCGGCTCGGCGCGTCGCCGCACCAGAGCCAAACCCCAGCACGTGCTGGCTCGGTGCTGAGCAGCTCGACCCTTCTGCTTCGCTTACAAGGGGTCGGCAAGAGGTAGTTTTTAACGGTGACCATTATTATTCTGTTTTGTTTTGAAACAAAAGCGCCACACATCCCTTTAGGCCCGAGTCTGATCCGAGACAAAGCCACGGTTGTGGTCACCGTTTTGCAGAGGGGACACGGGTACAGCACCATTCACCACCACTACGTCACCTTTTTGCCCCAGGTGTGAGTTTGCCAGCCCCGAGCCACCCTCTGAGCCCCCCCCGCCGGCAGTTCTGCACCTCTGAGGAATCCAAAGCTCCTGCCCTCGGAAGCATCAGCTTCCCTCGTCCGGCCCCGGCTGCGCCCAGGCCCTGCAGACTTACTTGTTGCTCATCATGAGCACCTCCAGCTCTTTGACGTTGTGGACCAGGAACTTCCTGAAGCCCGTGGGCAGCATGTGCTTCGTCTTCTTATTGCTGCCGTAGCCGATGTTGGGCATCAGGATCTGACCCTTGAACCGCCGGCGAACCCTGTTATCGATACCTCTCGGTTTACGCCAGTTGCGCTGGAGGAAACGTGGGCAATATTTAATAGTTACAAGGTGAAATCAGTCTGCAAACACCCGCCTCAGCAGCTCCAGCCAAGCCCAATGTCCGGGCAGAGGCACCGTGCCAGCGTGGCTCCCTGGTGCGGCTCTGGCCCGCCAGGCTCCCGCTCACCATCGGCCCTGGCAGCCAGCCCGTGTCCCGCTGTCCCAGGACTCATTCTCGGATGAGCCTCCCGGGTTTTTTTTTTTTTTTTTTTTTACCTTGATCTTGACATAGCGATCGGACTGATGGCGGATGAACTTCTTGGTCCTCTTCTTGACAATTTTGGGCTTCACGAGAGGCCTGAGGGCAGGCATGGTGCCTGGGGCGAGCAGACGGGGGGTGAGAGGGGGGCGCGGGGGCGGGCCGGGGCCGGCCGGGCCGGCGCGGCTGTGGCAGGCTGCCTTCCGCTCCGCGGCCGCTCCGGGGGCCAGCGGGGGAATGGGTGTTCGCCTGCGGTCCCTCTGCCTCCCGCCTCCGAAGCTGGCAGAGCACCGGCAGCTCTCCAGATGCGATCCTGGGAGGTGCCGCCCGCCCCCGCCGCGCCGACGGACACGCGGACGGACACACGGACACGCGGACAGCTCCGCTCTCCGAGATCAGAAGCGACCGAGACTCACCCCCCGCAAACCTCCGGCGGACTCAGCTGCGGCCGCTCCCCGCCCCCCAGGCCCCCGCTGACACCAAAACCGACCGTTTTGGGTCGCGCTCCCCGGGACCCCCCGGCCCCATCGCCCCCCGGCCCACGCGTGTCCCCGCGGGTGGGAGCGCGCAGTCCGCCGACACCCCCCCCCCCCCGCCCCGGCTCCCGGAGGCCGCGGCCCGTCGCGCCGCGAGGGAAGCGGGCGCCGGGAGAAGGGGGGATGCGGCCGCGGGGGGCGGCCGTGCCGGGGGGGCGGCCCCGCGGGCGGATGGCGGCGGATGGGGACGGACTCACCGGGCGGGCGATGGCGGCCGGCGCGGCAGGCCCCGCCGAGAGAGGGGGGGCGGGCCCGCGCGCGGGGGCTGATGGGATGCGCGGGCGGGCCCGCGCGCGGGGGCTGATGGGATGCGCGGGCGGGCCCCGCGGCTGCGCAGAGCGCGCGGCACGGGGCTGCCGCCGGGAGGGGCGGTTCGGTCCGGCGGGGACGTCCCGGGAGAGCGGGCCGGTGCTGCTTCCCGGGGCTTCTGCTTCCCGGGGCTTCTGCTTCCCGGGGCTTCTGCTTCCCGGGGCTTCTGCTTCCCGGGGCTTCTGCTTCCCGGGGCTTCTTCCCGCCGCCCCGCGCTCGGTGCGAGGCTTCCCGGACCTGCCCCGGCGTCACTCCCGCCCGGGCGCCGCTTCCGCCAGTCGCGCTGGGCACGCGGGCGCCCCCTGGCGGCGCGGCGGCAGCGACGGAGCGCAGGCCGGTCCCGGCGGTAACGGCCCCGGCCCCGGCCCCGCGCCGGGGGGACGGATCGCAGCGCGATCTACGGGAGCTGCCGCGGCTCCCGCCGGCCCGGCAGGACCCGCCCCGGCCGTGGGGACCCGCCCGGTCACAGCAGCGGGCGGCTCGGCGGGAGGTGGTGATCCCCGGTATCTCCTCAGCGATGCACTCGGGCTGCCGGCCCTTCAAACGGGGCTGCCCAGTGACCTCCTTGAAGAGAATTTTAGTCCAGCTTTCCTCGGGCTAGATCCAAACGCTTGCTGCATAAATCGGGTATGTCTGTCATTAGCATACGTTATTCACATTAGAAATGCCGACTCGCAAAGCTGTCTTAGGAGTCCACACGTTGCCCATCAGCGGAGCGTGCCAGCGCTGACAGGTCAGCTGTCGGCCCCAGCAGACCGGGTGCCAGCTCAGTGCCCAGCGCAGCCTCCCCACAGCCACGGTGCCGAGCGGGGGCCCTACAGACCCTGAGGCTTCACTCCCTCCTGGGACTCGCGCTGGGTGACATCCAGCCCCTCCACACCTTTTCCTTCCCTTTCCCCAGGGTGTGGGAGTTGTTGGAGAATGGCTCAGAGACAAGGGTCCTGAGCCCCCCGAGCAGTTGTACGATCAGAGCCTGTTCTAGGGGCTGATGCTGGGCCTCACTAGGGTTTGCCTGCAGCTGCTCGCAGCTGCTGATACAGGAGGAATGTCAAGGACGCTTCAGCCCTGTGTACCGTGGTGTGTCGAAAACAGGTTAAGGGGAATTAGGAATAGTGGCATGAGAAACCTAGTGTTATGGTAACAGTGGTCTGAGAAACATTGTGTTACGGTACTGTCGTGTATCGAAAACAAGTCAACAGGAATCAGAAATAGTAGCATGAGAAACTTAGTGTTATGAGAAGCTTGTGCTGTTAGCTGACTGCAAGTAGGTGGACCGTGCGAATACGACCCTTAGAGCTTAAGCCAATCAGCTAGTGACTAGTAGGCATAATTAGTAGAAGGATTATAAAAAGCTGTAACAAAAATCAATAAACTGAAGCACGCTTTATCACTCATACTGTGTCGGCTGCGTTCTTCCTCCTTGGCTGGGTCCTCGGCTCGCCCAGCCCGGCAGGAGTGTTGCAGTTACCTTAATAAAATAGCTTGAATCCTAGAGTATTATTTTGATTTTAGTTTAGAATATGATTTTGATTTTGAAATGGAGTTATAGCAGCTTTGAGAATATAAAGCACACTAAGGCCCTTAGGAATAGGTAGCCAGTATGGTGTGTGCCTTGAACACGGTACGAATCGTTATGGACTCTGAATCAAAACAGTGGGTACTGGTTATGGATCTTGATTTGAAACAATAGGTACTAGAAGAAACTGGTTTTGGTTGGGAAGATTGGCCAAAGAAGGAACGGGCATTAGCCAGAGATGACTAATGATTTCTGTACAATAGGAATATAGGTACAGTAACTGAAAGCCAATCATCATTAAGGTCAAACTAAACTTTATGAATTTTGATCTTATGTAACCGTGACTCTGCTGAAAAAGCGTATAAATATGTTGTGCTTTGTACCTGTTGGTGAACACGTCTTTGGTGGAACCACCCCCGTGTTCCCCAGCGCTGGAATAAAGAAGTACCTGCTTCTCTGCCGGGTGTAGATAAGTTCTATTCGCGACTGCGACCGCTAACAGGAGCAATTCTCTGAGGGTAAGAGAAAATGCCCATTGCTGAAGATCTACTGTTTGCTCCAAAGAAACCACTCGGGGTTTGCATGCAGAAAAACACGGCCGAGTCACAGCAGTTCGTTCCTTTTCTGTTCCCTGCATACCGCTTTGAAGACGTGAGTGAAGTCCGCTCTCGTGATCTTCCTCCTGTCCATACCAGCCCTCCTGAACACGTCCACCAGCAGCAGCTTCTGTTTGTGCAGCAGGTTACGCAGCATGACAAGAGCTGGGGGGTACGGTGCACAAAAAAGGGGAGTGTGACCCCCCGCCCCGCCAGGGCTGACCACTCGCTGGTGGTGAGCACTGAAAAAGAGCAGAAAATACCCCGAGGCCACCGTCACCCAGAATCCCGGCGGCAGCAGGGGCTGAGGCTGCAGCGGGGCCCCGGGAGCCGCAGTGCGAGGGTCCCGAGGCCAGAACACCACCACAGGCACTGACGCCCAGGCTGCGGGCCGCGGCTGATTTGCTTCCAGCCCCCTGCCAGCTCTGCGCGCTTTTATTCTTTCCTGGACTCTTTCAAGCCTGCTTGCTTTCGGCGGCGGGCAGCGATGCGGGTGCCTGTGCTTTGGGTGATGCCCCACCCCCCCCGGCACATACAGACACTCCCATAAACAACTTGGATGGGTTTATTAAAAAAAAAAAAAAAAAAAATACAGAGATTTTAAACATTTCCCTGCAACGCTGCCCTGAGCTGGGCGCGTGGCACCAGCGCTCAAGGAAGCGGTTGGCGAGGCGAGGCCCAGGGCAGGGCCAGCGGGGCCGGCTCTGCCTCACGCGATGCTCAGTCTCTCCCGGTTCTCCCAGAGCCACGTGTGATACACGTTCAACTTGTGGTCCTGCGGCTGTACCTACAACACAGCGGAAGCGTTTAATGTTTACTAAAATACCTTCTCTTGGGACACCTCACCACCCTGACCTATTCCCCTCGCGGCTGCGGGCCCCTCGGTACCAGGAGCAGCGCCGGGCCGGGCCGGGCCAGCCTCCGCCTGCGTAAACCGAGGGCCACAGCACTCGGTCACCCTGAAACCACCCACCCCCCTGGGCAATCCGGAGAGCAGGACAGCCCCTCGACCGCCCCTCACAGCCGTCCACCACACGAGGACCCACTGTGGCAAAGGCCCCACCAACACCCATCGCCGAGGGATGCCAGGATCCGGCTGGCAGGAAACAGGGAACCCAGTTCTTAACGGCAGCAGGGAAGAGGCACTCACCCTCACATCAAGGAAATAAAGAGCACAGTGAAAGTGGAAAATTACAGAAAAAACCCCAAGGTGGCCAGTCCTGATTTACAGGTGCAGAGTTGTCAAAGGTACATTCTGGGAGTTCAACCTACTGAAGAGTCGTTATCTTCAGCCCGCAGGCACAAGCCCACGGCCACAGCAGCACCCACCTCCTTCCACTCGTTGACACAGAAGATTCTGTAGGAGTCGTTCCCGTACTTCCCGATGCCGTGCAGCTCGATGGGGTACTTCCACTGCTTGCTCAGGTACTCACCTGCAACGCACGGTCACAGGCTTCACTGCCTGCAGGCAGGCAGGGCGCAGGGAGCAACTCTGGACAAACTCCTGATTCCCTATTGTAACACGCCTCCACTTTGGAACATTTTAAATGAAAAACACAAGTTTTAGCTATTTCCTGGTAAGAGTAGGTGATGAATCCTTATGGGGTGTATCTTAAACACCTTTTAAACAAATCACTGAGGGAGAGTTTTAATTACATCTCTCTTCTCAGAACCCCCACAGGAATACTTTTATTCTAAGTATAGAAAATATCAGAATCATAGAAAAATTCAGGTTGAAAGTGCCTTCGGGAGGCAAAACAGAGCAGAGCCACCTTATCATAGTGCTGCAGAACACAAAAATCAGCCTTGTAGGTGTTCATATCTTTTTCCACTCAAAGTTGCCTCCCAGACAATGCTCTCTTGCAGAACTCATTATGCATACGTCATTTTATTCCCAGCTAAGACAACAGGATCGACAGCTTTGCATATGTTAAGACCCACATATCCCAAAGTTGCGTAAAACAACCCAGCACCAGTATTTGCCAAACAGAAGGAAAAGTCCGAGCGCACTGCTTGGAAATAATGCTGCTTGTCTTGCGAGTACAATTTAGACCCTTCCACAGACATATTCAGGAAAACCTACCCGAGAACTTGATGATAGTTTTTGCTCTGAGTTCGTAGAGGCCGAGAGGTTTGAGCAGCTCCGACATTTCTTTCCAGTCTGCAGTCCTGGTTATTTCAGGAGAAGGATACTTCTTCAGGAACTCCCAGAGCACAGGAATTGCCATTTTACCTAGTGAAAGAAACAGTCATGAACAGAAGGCTGTGCAGGTAATTCTCTTTTTTGATTAGCTATGTATGCTTTTTGAAGTGAGCTTTTTCTGAGGCAAGAGTTACAAATGAAAGATTTCTTTTGGTTTTTGTTTTACACCAACATAAATTAATACACCTTTATTAATGTAATTTAAAAATGGCAGCTGTTCTGGCTCTATAACACCACTCCAACATTTATACAACATGAAATTGCGTTAGTCTACTTACCTGAAGTTTTATTGAGAAATATGGTTGCAATGAGAAGTTTCCACGGATCATGGAAAAGAGTTTCTTGGATCAGATTAAAAGGAGAACGTGGAGGAGTCCATTTTCTGAAGGCTTTCCTTCTAGGTGGGCTGGGAGCTGTACACAGAGGCAATACAGGAAAAATTATCAGACAGTGAAGGATGGATTTACCTATTTAAATTAAAATAATTTTTAAAAAAGAAAGACCTTTTGAGGCAGCTTCATATTTGTGGGGCCACTATACGTGGATGGAGCAATGGCACTTCCCACAGAAATTCTGCAGAAGTGCAGGGCACTGTGCGTGCCTGGCACGGGCTGCAGTAAGTCAAGGCTGCCTGCGTGTGCCCCCGAGTTCCACGTCACAATCTTCTGAGGAGAGTCCCTCCCCAGCTACCGCCGCGCTCCTGCGTGGGGACGGAGCAGCAGCCACAGGGCAGGGGGATGCACCCTGGCAGGGGAAACACCTCAGAGCTCTGGAGAGAGCTGCCCCAACGCCCATTCCCCACCACCTCACAGCTGCCAAGGGAGCTGCCGAGGCACCTGCCACCAGCCTGAGCGGCTGTTGGCAAGATGCAAACCACCGAGGTTTAAAACGGGACAAGATCAGCTCCAGTGCAGGAGACCGAGGTCTCTGATGCCACCGAAGCATGGCTGGCCTAAAACTGGGGATTCTCCAGAACATCAGTTAATCCTGAGCCATCCTATTCCACCCCTCACAAAAAAAGATTTCCCTAAAGAATATCATACCTTCTTTACTGTATTTACTTGAAAAATATGGGCTCGTTTTCCTCCTATCCACTTGTGTTCGTGGGATAGACTCTTCTGTAAAGAAATAATACTGTAGGCATTAAAAAGAAAAAAGCCCAAGTGTTTAGCTGTCATGTTTCACACACCATTTCTACTTTACATTGTGATGAAAACACAAGGATTTCTTGCAAGTGTACAAAACATAAACGTGTTTTAGATTCACTGCAGTACTCCGCTGTATTTCATCTTCATGAAAGAATTCCAAAGATAAACTGTTACTTTGCCACAGTCTGAGGAAACAGGCTCAAACTACAACCAAGAATTAAATGTTTTCCACACACTCTAGCACATGAAACAAGCTAAAACTAGCCTTTTTTATGACTCAGACTGACCCAATGTGCAACAACATTAAAAGTTAGTGCAGTGAAGGTAATGAACATTATTATACTACACAGCTAAAGAGATAGTAAATTCCAGTTTGTCCTGGGTTGAGTGAGTGGTGGGTTTTTTTGGTGGCAGGGGAGGGGGCTATCGGGGCGGCCCCCTGTGAGAAGCTTCTCGAAGCTCCCCCAGCTCCAAGCCAGCTCCACTTCTGTTTGGGAAATTGAGCCAATCGGCTGCGCCTCTGCGATAACGTATTTAAGAAGGGACGTGGTGACGGGCAGTCGGACTGGTGAGGAGGAGTTGCTGCAGCTGCATGAACACCAAGGTCAGTGGAGGAATGGAGGAAGAAAGGAGGGGGGAGGTGTGCCGGAGCAGAGACCCTCCTGTATCCTGTGGTGAGACGGCAGGGCGGCCCTCCCTGCCACCCATGAAGATCTACGGTGGAGCAGACATTGATTTATGGGCTGCTGTTCCTGCTCTGATGATCAAGGTTCTGTGCCCGAAGAAGGCCGGGGTCTTGTGGGAAAAGGCAGCCCCGCTGCTGTAATTCAGCGCTGGGAGGATTGCAGCATGCGGGGGGGTCCCACGCCGGAGCAGCTCGGGAAGGGCTGCAGCCGTGGGAGGGAATCCAGTCGGAGGAAGTTAGTGACCCATGACGGAGCAGTGTGGGGAACGCTGCGGCCCGTGGGAGGAATTCAAGTTGGAGAAAGTTTGTGGAGGACTGTCTCCTGTGAGAGGGGGACCATGCTGGAGCAGGGGGAAGAAGTTCCAGAAGCTCCCCCCACTGAAGATGGAGAAAGTGGCAGCGCTGCCTGCACCCCCCATTCCCTGCCCCTGCGCCACTGGGGGAGGAGGTAGAGATATCGGGAGCAGAGCTGAGCCCGGGAAGAAGGGAGGGGTGGGGGGAAGGTGTTCTCAAGATGGGGCAATGCTTCTCACTGTCCTACTCTGTTATGTGTTGTTAGTGTCTGTAATAAATGTATGTTCTATTTTTTTCTTCCCCTAACGAGTCTGCCTTTTGCTCGTGACCATAAAGGGTGATTTTCCCCCATCCCAGTCCTATCTCGAACCCCAAGCCTGGCTCTCTGTCCCTTCTCATTGACGGAGGGGAAGGGAGAGAGAGCTGCTGCGTGGTGGTTGGCTGCCAACCAGGCCCAAACCACGACACAGTTGTAAGTGTGCACTAAGTTAAACGCTGCTGGATAAAGAAATGGGACAGATTTAGATGTCAAAGCAGTTCCATCTGAAACAGAATACTTTGCTTGGGTACTCAGGAGAACCCCTGGCAGAATGTTAGGATCACATTCTCCTCAAAACCACACATACACCTGACAGCATTTTAACTGCTGAGGCTTGTCTTGTCACATGGCTGCAAGGCATTAACATCCCTTTCAGTTTCAGATTTAAAGTCCCAGTTACCTGGATTCCCTGGATCTGTCTCCTTCCCTATTTTCAATCCACTGGTTTTCTCTGCAGACGGTGTGTCATCAGAACCTGTCTCCACACGTTCCTCCTCTGCTAGGCTCTCAGACCCCCTTGGCAAGCGAGCTGTCACGGGCCTCAGCCGTGTGTCTGACCGTGACCTGCCTGTTTTTAACAGAGTTTTTCCTGCTTCCATAGGGTCTGCATTCTGATCATCTACGCCCTGACTACCAGCAACACACCTGTCTGTCTTTCTACAGAATTTCTTGTTTTGAACGCACTCAGTTTCCTGTTTGTTACATGCTCTTCTCTGTCGTTTGTTTTGGGTATTATCTCGATTCCTCTTTTCTGAGCTCTTCCCAGTCTTCTTATTCTGAACACGTTTTCTACCTGCCCCCTTTTTTTTGGTTTCCAAACAGTCCTCTGGGTTTATGCTTTTCATGATCAAATCTTCACTTTCCGGAGTGGACCCAACACCTTCCAGGTGTTCACTTCCAGCCTGAATGTTTTGAATTCTATCCTCTGCACCACCTTGACTACTGAGGTCTTGCACTTGACTGTGACAATTCTTATTCTCTAAAACAGTTCCTGCAGCCTTTGCACTGCATCTTTTCACCCTCAAACGAGTAATTCTCTCATAAGGAGCTATAAAATCAAAATTTTCTGCTTTTAGAGTCATCTCCACAGTTTTCTGCAAATACTCCACAAGTGCACTTTTTGATCTCCGCGTAGCTCCTTCGGGACTGTGGTAGGAAAGAAGAGTAAATTAGTGACGGCTTCCTCATCCTCTCGCTCCTCACTTACAAACTGCTCTAGTGTTTAAAAAAACAAACCGAATGACAACAACAGGTGGCAGGGCGATGCCCAGACAAGTTTCTCGACTCGACCAGAAAACACTCGCGCGAATATCTTACGGATAAGCCCACACAGACCACGCGCTTCACCTCACGAGCCCCGCGCCGGCGGGCAAGCGCAAGCCTGTGCTGCCCGGAGGAGGAGAAGCGCTTTTCCCCGTTCCCGAGGGGCTCCCCCGGCCTCACCTCACCGAGCACAGGTCGATGCTCCCCGCTGCCCACCTCCGCCGGGCCCCCTCCTGCCAGCCGCCGTGCCCGCCCGCTATCCCCTCAAGCCGCGCTCCCGCCGCGGGCAGGGCGCCGCTCGGAGCGGGGGGCCGCAGCGCGCAACCCCCGCTCCTCCCCGCTGGCCGCCGCCATCAAGGACCCCGCCGCCACGTGACGCTGCCACGTGACGCCGCCGCGCCCGCGCTCTCTGGGCCCGGCTGGCGGGCGCCCCCTGGCGTGGCGGAGGGCCGGCGGACCCTCTCCCAGCGCGCATGCGCGTTGCCCGGTGCGCCGGCGGGGCGAGGGGCAACAAGCTCTCGGCGGCGGAACCGAACCGGGACCGGAGCGCACCGGGACCGGAGCGGGGATGCGGGCCGCGCTCACCTGGCGTGACAAGGCCGAGCAGTGGTGAGCGGCCGCGGGGAGAGCCGGGGCAGCGCGTCCTTCCCGCGGCCGGCGGAGCGGGGGCCGCGGCGGGGCTCCCGGGGCCGCTCGCCCGGTAACGCAGCGGCTCTTCGGGGCTGGGTCGCGCTTCGGTCACGTCGCGCTCAGCCCGGGGCCGGCAGCCCGCGGGGGTGGGCGCCGTCCCGGCCCCGGCCCCGGCCCGGTGCGCCCGGGCCCGGCCGGTGCTCGGCTCCTGGGCGCGGGGACCCCCCCACGGGCCCTGCGGCGCTGGGGGCTTCCCGGCAGTCGGGTGCACTCTCAAGCACTCAGCTGGCGATTTTGATACGTGGCATCTTTGATGTTAAAAGAAATACACTTTCTGCCTGCTGATACGGGGCTTTCTTGGGGGGGTCTTTCTTTTTGTTTTTTTTTTTTTTTTTTTTTAGTATTTATGATCTTGCATTCAAACCAGATGGGACCCAACTGATAATTGCTGCTGGAAATAGACTGCTGGTAGGGAAACTTTTTTTTTACTCTTGCAGATACAGCCACAGGAATATGATTTCTTTCACATTAACTTATGAATATAACCTATCAAAAATCCTCTTATCTCTACTAGTCCAGCCTCATATCTACATAGATATTAATGCGTGCTAACTGTAAAGTGTTTTGAAGCTTTTTAATGTTTCTTACCAAGTTTTAAGCTCAATTTCCAAAAGTAATGAGATTTAATTCTCTTATCTTCTCACACCTCACCCGGTGGTTTGAAATCCATTAACCTGCATCCAAACTTAGCCCAATGGCATGGTATACAAATACTGCATCATTGCAAGTCTCATGCAAATCTTTGTCAAGAGGGGAAGGAAACTTAAATTGATGTCTCTACTTTCTGAGAAGCTTTGGATGTAGGTTTTTGCAGTCCCCTGGGTCCTCTCGCCTGCTGCTAACCCACCAACAAAAGCAGCTTCTCACGGTTCCTGCAAAGCTTTCAGATGAGGCAGATGTAGAAACTGCAGGGATGGATGGATGGATGGATGGATGGCAGGCACAGTTAGAGAGAGGTCGATGGGAACTGCAGGACAGCAGGCTTTATTATTTTCAGTGCTTGCAGAATGGTGGGTTTGGTGATGGTCCTTTCCAGTAATTTATGATGTTTAATCATCTAGTGTGGGGAAAGAAGTAAAACAAGCTAGCCAAACAAGCTGTTTGGAAACTTCTGTGCATGTAATTTTCTAGTACTGAGACTTCTGTACCAAGAAGGAATTACATTAAGGAAAGCTGGTTTTATACTTTAAAACTTTCTGTCTTGCATGGACTGTATGCTGTGCAAAAAAGCAAACACAAAAGAAGGTGTATAGGCTTGCTGGCCTTCAGAATTTTATATCTAAGTCCTCACTGGCAGATTTTTTTTTTTAGGTATTGTTTTTTTGTTTGTATGTTTGTGCTTTGTTTTCTTTCCTTCCCCTGTTTAAATAGGTATATGATACTTCTGATGGAACCTTAATTCAGCCTTTGAAAGGACACAAGGACACGGTGTACTGTGTGGCTTATGCTAAAGATGGTAAATATCACTTTGGGGGGTTTTGTTAGTCTGGCTTGTAAAGTGCATATCTTCCATCTCTTACTGCCAACTGATAGAGAAGTCAGGGTTATTTCAGTAACAATATTCTGAACGTGAGTGCTGGTGCTTTGGTTGGTTTGCATTGGGGAGTTTGAACTGCCTTACAAATGCTACACGTACTGTATTTACATGTAAGGCTACCCGTTAATTCAAAAACGGTAGTCCCCACTTCTCCTCCCCTTCTGCTTCAGTGATGGTTAAATTTATATTTGTGGAGTAAGGTGAGGAGAAGGCATGCCCCAGAGATCCCTCCTTCTAGTATTCCACCTGCCTCTGATTTTTATTCCCATAGTTCCTCCCTCCCAAAGCTTCCCTATCTTCTGATCCTTCACACGTTACCATGCCCACTACAGACCTTACTCTGCTTCCAGTTCTTTCACTGTCTCCAGTTCTCATTCTGTGGGAATTTACTGTCTGTGGACTCGGAGGACTTCCTCTCAAATACTGCTGTTTAAGTTATAGGGGATGCCTGTGAAAATGTGCCGTTTTTCCCTTGACACTGTTAACACGAATCTCCAACCTGTGACTAACAGTGTTGGAAAGACTGGCTACTTGCTTTCGTGGTGGGGCTTTGGTGAGGCACGCTCTGTGGGAATAACGAAATCAAGTCATCGGAGTTTCGCGTAGTTGAAGTGCAGTCACATCAAGACAGTTGCACTGTTAGGCCTGTTACTACTTGAGCCTTGTCAAATTCTTGCTCTCTCTTTGATTTGAGTATTTGGAGTGAAAGTGATTCTTGTATGTGTGGGATTTAAATTATACTTAATTCCTAGGCAAACGTTTTGCATCTGGCTCAGCTGATAAAAGTGTGATAATTTGGACTTCAAAGTTAGAAGGAATTCTGAAGTACACGTAAGTGATGCCTTTCAATTCCGTGCCTCTCAAAAATGGACTTGATTTTGTACTACTTCTGTAAAAGAGTACGTGCTGTTAGACTTGGAAGAAGGTTGACTAAGGTCAGAGAAAATTCCGGGGCGTAATAGAAGAGGGAAGAGGAAAAGTACAGTTAAGTATCTGAATGATGCAGGACAGCAATTAAAGGCATAAAGGAGGGTGGGAAGTCTAGATAAATCTCTGAATTTAGGGGACTGACAGAGAACTGGGGAAACTCTGTACGGATTGAAATAAAAGGAAACAGAATATGACTCTGATCTTGTATAATAAAATTAATATAATTCTGGTTCAATAACCAAATTAAAGATAAGGTTTCCTACTTTTGGTGTATTTCCATCCTTCTTCTTTGTTTTTGTCATTACTGTTGAGCAACATCTTCAAACTCTGTTGCTGAATATGTGTATACATTTATTAGTAGTTAGTATGCACAAATTCGTGTACTACTAGGAGCATACACAAGCATACTTGTTTTAGAATTTGAATCTAACCTTTAATCATATTTTACAAACCACCATCTCTGTACACTTTAGCTAATCTTGATGAAATACAGTGAATCCTGCCACTTAGAGACAATTTTTTAAAAGTTTTTTACCAATTTAGTTTAAGGTAATTCCAGATTAATTTGATGTAATATAAACTGATAGAATTATTTCTGGCATCTGGTAAACCTTTCAGCTATCTTGCTGAAAGTCAGAAGAGGGGGCATTTAAGAATGATTTATTGAAATTGGATTGTAACTTCATTCTAGGCATAATGACTCGATACAGTGTGTCTCATACAATCCTCTTACTCATCAGTTGGCATCCTGCTCTTCCAGTGATTTTGGTATGTGTTCTTCTTCTAACTTTACCATTAAGCCAGTAAATTCTATTAAAGTTGTATAGCTAAGATAACTATAGATAGGTACAGTTCTTTATATCCAGAAGAGATGAGATATAAAGCTACCTAAAGTTAAGTAACATTAGATACTTATTTAAATCACTTAAACTCAGTTGGAAAAGACTCTGTAGTGAGGTGCCACAGGGTAAATGTACTACTTTGTTACTATGATTTTTTTGCAGAGACATCCTTTGTGTTATTTAGATGGCTTTTTTTCCCATTTATTGGTAATATATATTTAAATGTCCTTCTAGCAGCGGATGAGACTTTGATCCCTCTGAAGTCCCAACTGAGTTATCTGACAATACTGATTCCTAATCTGAACACTGGTAAATGCTTACCTGTAATTTACTTTGGCTTTTTGTTTGCTTTAACTAAGGCTTGTGGTCTCCTGAACAGAAGTCAGTCTCCAAACATAAAACTAGCAGTAAGATTACTTGCTGTAGGTAAGTTTCAAGGATTGCCTGTGTCATTTAAGTTAGTTTCGGTACAAATCATTCAAAATACTATACAAGCTTAAAGAAAAAAAGGTTCAAGTGAAATAGTTCAACACATGCAGAGACAGCACCTAGTAGTATCAGACAGGATCTTCTACCTTGCCGTTCAGCAGCATTATTTACTTCGTGCTGCTTTGCCATTCTCATCATTAAAATACCTGAGTAGTGTTTATAAACCTCCAGCAGAAATATGACTAATATTTATCAAAGAAGATTTGTTATTGCATAGTCTTCTCAGGGAGATTTCCCACTCCCCCCCTTCTTTTTTAATAGTGTGTGTGTGGGGGTGTTGGATTTTGTTTGTAACTTAATTCTTCGGACAGTATCAGAGAGGTGTTCTGGTCTTGAGCAAGTCTTAACTTTTCTCTCCCTCTGTTTAGCCATTTTGTACAATAGCAATAAAGTGAAGTTAGAGGAAAAATATTTTTTTTTGTTGTTTTGTAGAGCTGTGTATTTCCAGTGTTGTTGGTATTTTCAGTAGAAGGAGATATTAGCATTATGGGGAACCTGAAACAAGGTTACACTAATTTGTGTAAAGTCATCCATTCAACTTCAGTAGAGACAAGAACAGAAACCATGTCTCCTCTGTCCCACACCATGCAGTTTTATCTGATCAGTGTTCTAAATGTGGCTTTTAAAACAGTCTGGTCTACTGCCAACACTGTCATCCCCCAAAATGTATCTGTTACTTCGCACATGTTACAAGTATTGCAAGCAGATGATAGCTTTTTTTTCTTTTTTCCATTTCTACATTTTTTTTTTATTTCTGTATATATTATAAAATGTTCTTGCTGTAGTGCATGCTGTTGCCATAAATTGGATTTAGATGCATAAACAAACTGTGGGATTACTGGCTACCTCCCAGAACTCCCTCTTAGAAGTATATTTCAATCTATCATCTCTATTTGAGTTTGCTGTACCATCCTACCTTCCCGCTGCTTGTTTTTAGTAGTTTTCTCTTCAGTATGTGTGTGTTTTATCAGCTGGACAAATGATGGCCAGTACCTTGCTTTGGGGATGTTCAACGGCATTGTCAGCATAAGGAATAAAAATGGTGAAGAGAAAGTTAAAATAGAGCGTACAGGGGGTACTTCATCTCCAATATGGTCAATTTGTTGGAATCCATCCAGGTAAATCATTTCATTCTCCCTTTTTTCATGTTGAAAAGATAATCTTTGGTTTATTGATTGCAGAAATGCTTGACTTTTATCCCTGCTGAAACAGATTAATGCCATGTACGTTACCTTTTTTTTAAGTGATTATGTATTGGGATTTTGGCTTTGCTGCCAGTCTTGAATTGAATGGAGGAACTGGGAACAAGCTCCACTTAGATCACAGAATCATTTAGGTTGGGAAAGACATTTGAGTCCAACTGTTAACCTAATGCTGCCAAGTCCCACTAAACCATGTCCCTGAGTGCCACATCTACACTGTCTTCTAAATACCCCCAGGGTTGGTGACTCAACTCCTTCCCTGGGCAGCCTGTTCCAAGGCTTGACAACTCTTTCAGTGAAGAAAGTTTTCCTGATACCCAGTCTGAACCTCCCCTGGCACACCTTGAGGCCGTTTCCTCTTGTCCTATCACTTGTTACTTGGAAGAAGAGACTGACCCCCCCCTGGCTCCAGCCTCCTTTCAGGCAGTTGCAGAGAGCCATCGGGTCTCCCCTCAGCCCCCTCTTCTCCAGGCTGAGCCCCCCCAGTTCCCTCAGCTGCTTCTCACAGCACTTGTGCTCCACACCCTTCACCAGCTCCCCTCCTCTTCTCCAGACTTGCTCCAGCACCTCAGTGTCTTTCTTGTAGTGAGGGACCCAAAACTGAACACAGTATTTGAGGTGCGGCCTCACCAGATCCCAAGAAATGTTGATTTTTTTTTTTTTTTTTCGTTCTTTTGTATTGTTTTTGGGGGTGGGGGTGGGGGCAGGTTCTGTCTGGATTGAGGGAGAGAGAGGAGAGCTGTGTTTTCCCTTCAATTCAGATGGAGTATTGTCCCAAATCTGTGAATAAACAATTGCTATTGCAGTAGGTGGGAGAATTTTTGGAGTAGAGCAGATGAACAAGAGGAGTCAGTTCACAGCTATTTAGAGGAGATACCAGGGCTGAAATCCAGGCCTGGCAGTAGGCAGGAGGGAGAAGACCATGAGGAAGAAGAGACCTCTATGCATTCCAACTCGTGAGTGAAACTTCAAAAGAACATATATAGATAACATCATCTAGAACAGTAATTTAAAAAAAGGACCAAGGGCAGAGTGTTTTGCAGGGTGCAAAATCAGATATTCAAAAGTTAGGAAATTCTAGATTAATAGTTGCTTGTATGGTCTTAGTTTATTCTGTTAGTATGTGTTCATTATGAGATAGTTCTTAAAATATGCTTAAAAGCATGTTGCTTTTCCCCACAGGTGCATGCATCATGCATTGAGCAGAGGGAGGGTGCTTACTCACCAGTTAGCTTTTCATTAGGTTTTTTGTCTGTTTCCTTTTTGTTAAGTTTATTGCTAGAAGCATTATTTGCAGCAGAACCTTCAGATTATGATCGCCCTTCTTCCTAGGCAAGAAGGGGGCTCGTGTTTTGCTCCAAGCTGAATAGATCATGTCAGAGTACCAAAGTTAGCAAACCCGAGATGTGTAGCCTTTCCTCGGTCTGCTGCTGGTCTCACAAGGACAATTTATGTTTTTCTTTCCCTGCCTCACACTGATAATTGTAGTTCACCCTTGCTCAGCTGTATTGAGTTTGGTGTTACAGGGACTTTGTGCTACTGTCACTGAGATCAGAATCCGGGCCCGGGTGCTGCCTCTGTTCAGGGGACTGTTACCTTCCCTGTACCCACTGCTGACAGCGGCGTGTGAAGTCATGCATCAAGCTCTGCAGTTATTCCTGTAAAGGAGACTGATTTTTCTTTTGTGTCCCCAAGCTGTCTTCCTCAGTTTTAAATGACATGATGTATCTGCTCTCCTCTCAGTTTGTGGTTTTTTAAAAGAGTAATACAAAGTAAATTCTGCTATCCTATTACTTGGTTCTGTTGCTCTAAATTTATTAATAAATCACTGTAGAACTACTATATAGTTTTTTTCTTTTTTATTTTTTTTGTTAGAGAGGAACGCAATGATATTTTAGCTGTGGCAGACTGGGGTCAGAAACTTTCCTTTTACCAGCTTAGTGGCAAACAGGTAAGGGTTGGAAAGTATTTCTGAATCTGTTTTGTATCCTATATTCAGAGTGTTTGTATACTAGTGCTTTATTAGCTACATTGTATGTTTTCTGTTTTCCCAACCTTTTATGACTCTGTTTTGTTTGGGTTTGCTTGGTTTTTTTTTTTAACTCTCTTTTTCTTTAGCTTATGTTTCTCTCATGGCAGCTCAGCTGCTGTCTTACGATTCTTATATTAAAGCCCTTAGAACTTTGCTGACTTTTGTGATACGGTTTACTGGTCTGTAGAGGACATCTTTGTATTTTTTTCAATTGGTTAAAGGGGGTTTTGTGAGTTGCTTGCATTCTGAGTAAACTGGTTTGGGACTGGAGGGATTCTTGCATGTATTTTAGAATTGCCTTTGGGAATCTTAATATAGCTAGTGGTTCTGGGGTATTGAAACGTTGTGCATGGCCAGAGAGATGAGAAGAATATTATCAATGATGGCACTTGTTGCCTTAGGAAAATATTAAATGATCCTTTTGTCGTTGTTTTGTTGTTTGGGTTTTTTTATTTATTTATTTTCCCTTGTAGATTGGGAAGGACAGAATGCTCAATTTTGATCCTTGCTGTGTTAGCTATTTTACTAAAGGAGAGTATATTTTACTGGGAGGCTCAGATAAACAAGTTTCCCTCTTCACGAAGGACGGTGTGCGTCTTGGTACCATAGGAGAGCAAAGCAGTTGGGTGTGGACATGCAAAGTTAAACCAGACTCCAACTATGTGGTGAGTAGGAACATCTCTGACATTTTCACAATTTGTCGTATAAGTTAAGACCATAAATTTCAAACTCAGGTGCTTAGTCTAGACATTCTTACTGAGGCAGCAGGACCTTAGCAGCATCTAGTGAGGTCCTGGAAGCACCACTGAAATTAAAAAAATATCCTGCAGAAGTAAAAGTTGGGCTGTAAGAAGGCTGTAAATGAGTGTGCTACCTGTTTTCAGATGGGAAGGCATTTGCTCATTTTGATTAAAAAAACAGGAGGGAAAAGAACAAAAAATGGCAGTTAATAACTTCTAGGTTGACCAAATCTAATTCCATGATTGGAAGAAAATGTTCAGATCTGTTTGAGTTTCTAGTATTATACCTTGTGGAAAATGCCTACAAGGCAACTGTCAGGTATAAATGCTGCACTGTGTCACTGTACAAATGTGAAGAGACACAGCGTGAATTTAAAAACACACACCCCGCACCCCCCCAGAAAGACACCCAAAACAACCAACAACAAAACCAAACCAAACTTCACCCATCCCTCATGGTGGTCTCCGTGGTCTACGATGAGATCAGTCCTCATTTTGCATTGCACTTTTACCAGTGTTGAAGTACAAGTAGGCTATAATTGGTATCAATCTATACATTATGCAGGAAAAGGAACATTATGTTCATATAAATACTACACATTTTGCCAGTTCTCACCTACATGTACCAATTAACTAAAATTATTTTATTCCTGTGTTCAGGCAGTAGGATGCCAAGATGGAACAATATCCTTTTATCAGCTGATTTTCAGCACTGTTCATGGCCTTTATAAAGATCGCTATGCTTACAGAGACAGCATGACTGATGTTATTGTCCAGCACCTCATCACTGAACAAAAAGGTAATTTCATACTTGCAGTCAGGCCAAAGCTTCACGCTCATTCTGTTTTTTTTGGGGGGGGGGGTTAATTAATATCCATCAGAACACTTGGATTATATGCTGCATGTACTAGACAGATTGTTGTCAGTTTGACAGTAAAACTGAGGAATAGTGTTTGCAGGATGAGAATGCAAACTTGGATTCTGGAGGATCAGCGCTGACAAGCTTAAAGATAGATGTGGGGATTTGAAAGGACATTGGGAGGGGCAGAGGCTTTTAAGATAAGGTTTTAATCTCTGCAAATGAGATAAAAATACTGTATATCATATTTAGCTTTTTTTCTTACTTGCAGCCTCAAGGGTTTGTGCTGATTTTGTTTCTTCATATCCACTGGCTTTTCATGGGAAGGGATCAAAGTATTGCTCCAGAATGTGCTGTTGACAAATAATAGAGGGTGATAAATTATGATGGGGCTAGTAGATTATATAGAACAACAAACATATCTGAGCGGGAATCTGCTTTTAGTTTTAGAGATGCTTTACAAAGATTCCATTTTAATGTATTAGTAAGTTTTCTGATTTCTGTATCCATTATTTTCATATCAGCCTATACTGTACTAGTTTTGTGTTTTTTCTCTCTAGTTAGAATAAAAGGCAGAGAGCTTGTAAAGAAAATTGCAATCTACAAAAACAGATTAGCAATCCAGATGCCAGAGAAAATCTTGATTTACGAGTTATACTCAGATGATTCTTCAGATATGTATTATCGAGTGAAGGAAAAGATAGTAAAAAAATTTGAATGCAACTTGCTGGTTGTATGTTCAGATCACATTATTTTATGCCAGGTATGTGCCTTAAAATCTAGAGTGGTCTTGGGGTGTATTCAGACTGTAAGATAGCTGTTCAAACAGCTGGTAGGAAAAGACTATACTGTATAATCCCTTACAGTTTTTCCCCAGGGTGGCAATGTGTAGTGCTGGGGTAATGTGCAGCACCAACAGCTGTGGCATGCCACCCGTGGCTCTGGTTCAGTAAAACAGTCTGTAGTGAATGTGATAAATTAGACCATAACCAGGAGAACTTTGGGCTGAGGTGAACTACTAGAAAAAAAGGGGGGAGGTGTTTTTGGTGTTTTTTCATAGCATTGGAAAACCTTAAAGAATTTCCCCTGTTAAATTGTCTATTTGACTTTATAATTTTTACACATAAAAGTAGGCACACTTGCTAGTATAGGTATAAATATAGCACATCAAAGACACGGGGTTTTATCTTTACCTCCACACAGTATTTTCTATGTTATCATGTCTTTAGGAGAAAAGATTGCAGTGCCTCTCATTTAGTGGCATTAAAGAACGAGAATGGCTGATGGAATCTCTTATTCGTTATATTAAAGTAATTGGAGGACCCCCAGGAAGAGAAGGCCTCTTAGTTGGTCTAAAGAATGGTCAGGTAACACTTAATGTCTTGTATGTGTCTTCTCACTGCAGATAAAATTGGTTCTGTGCTCTTAGGGGGAGACCTTAGGAGCAGCATGCTCTTTTACAACCTAAAATTTTATTTGATAGTCTCATCTGGTGATTAAAAACTAATTACTTCTATTTCTCCCATTCTTTGGCTGTAAAATTCATGCAAGCATTTTAACTTTGTTTAAAGTCTGTAAGTTGTTAGGAACAACGGACAAAAATGGAGTTCTTGGTGAACTGAGAGAGTGTTTGTCTTTAGTGGGGGTTGGGGTATGTGTGTGACCACTTGTGAAGGTGTCGATGTTCTAGAGGTAAAACTGCTCTCTATTTCACAAGCCAGTTAGCAGCTGAAAATTTCAAACTGGAGCCCAGAGGTACTGATACAGAGAACAGGGATAGAGAGGAAGTTGAGATCCTTTGTCATCTGTATCTATATATTCCTGTAGTATTATAGTAATGTAATTGTTTAACTATTGGAGCATTAAAAAATCCAGGATGTATAGTAGATGATTTAATTGCATAGGCTTGCAACCTAGAGTATGTTGTGGAAACACGTCTTTTTAAGATATCTCAAACTGAAAGCATTTCCTTAATTTTAATGCAGTTTCTCTCTGAAAAAAAATAATGCAATTGCATGCTTTAAAAACAGCAGTAAAGTTTGTACCTGGCATGCTATTTCTGGTTTTAAGAACAAAAATGAACGGACTGTTTTGGTTTCGAATATTTCTAGATTCTGAAGATATTTGTCGATAATGTCTTTGCAATTGTCCTGTTGAAGCAATCCACGGCTGTGCGCTGCCTGGATATGAGCGCATCCCGAAACAAGCTGGCAGTGGTTGATGAAAACGATACTTGCCTGGTATATGACATTCATACCAAAGAGTTGTTGTTTCAGGTAAAATTCAAAGTTTGTTTGTTTGTTTTAAAAGTGGTGCAGGGGAGTGATCTGGAGCACAGAACATACCAACAGTGCTACTGTGTGGAAATTCATATAACTCATTTAAGCCATTAATCACATTTTATAGGATTTAACTGTGATCTCTTTCTCTATTGAAACTACCCTTTCGGAGATGGTAGACAAGGAATTAGAAGGCAGGAGATATGTATGTGAGCAACAGCTGAATAAAGAGCACTTAAACGTGTGACCTTTTCAGTTTAATTTAAAGCTGTGTCTTGGTTCCCTTTGAAGCATTAGAGTTAATAAGCATTTTGGCTTTATCGTTAGTATGAACAGAATTAAAACCTAAACTTCTTTGTTTGTTGTGTATTCTTAGACTATGAAATGAATAATGATCATTCTCTCTTCACTGACAGTTTAGCAGTCACTCTAAGGGTTCGCTCATTAATGTTTATGAAACATTTTCAGAGAATACTGGATAGAAAGTATGAAGTGCTACAAAGATAGGGTTTGTAACTTTCTTTTTGTAATGGGCAGAAAAATGATCAATTAAATGGCCTATCTAACAGTGTAGTATCATGGAATTTTATTTATGTTCTACAGTTTGATAGTATAAATCATTAGTAAGTACAATACAAAGGAAAGACCATTACAGCTGTTTATTAAAATGTACAATATGTCCCTGTAGATCTGTTTATGGAATATACTTGGCTTTAGAATGTTATTAATGTAAATAAGATGTGTGTGTGTACACACCCAGGCTATAATAGGTCAAACATTCTAGCTGAAGGATGCATATTTCTTAGGAAAGATGATGTGATTGCATCTGTTGTAATCATCAGTTATTTTGTTTGTTAGGAACCCAACGCTAATAGTGTGGCTTGGAATACGCAGTGTGAGGATATGCTTTGCTTTTCTGGCGGGGGTTACCTCAATATCAAAGCTAGTAACTTCCCTGTCCACCAGCAAAAACTTCAAGGCTTTGTTGTGGGTTACAACGGCTCCAAGATCTTCTGTCTTCATGTTTTTTCTATGTCAGCTGTTGAAGTTCCGCAGGTAATCCTTTAATCTCATTAAGTGTTGCTTTACATTTCATAAACATCAATGTTTAAGAAGTGAAGAAGCTTGTCTGAGATTTATTCATATTCCACTACACAAATGATTGCAGTTCAGTTTCTTCATCGTTATTTAAGTTATATTACATGATCTATTTTATTTTTATTTGGCATTAATTAAGCTAACTTCCTTTTTGCTGTTATTGTCGGTTTGAATTCTCCCCTTCTACTTGCAAATGCATGTAATCTAAAAGCAAAGATGAAGATATGGTCCAGGTGTTACCTCTTCCAGTATTTTTACTGTAGTATCTCTGTACCTTTTCTCAAGTCGTAATTTCATTTTTCTTATGAGTACATCAAATAATGTCTTATAGCTGTTCCGTCTAGATGTGTTTAGGCTATATTTAAGCTGTATATTTTAGTCTGAATGTGTAATACAGGGGTAGTCTTTAAATTTAGAGATTGCCTTATACAAAATGTTACTTCCTGCATCATGGGAAGCAACGGAAGAGTTTAAAACAGTCCCAAGAAGCAAAACAAAAAAAGGACAAGGAAAAAAAAAAATCTGACTTGCGCACCAAAGTGTGGGCAGGATTTGAAACTGAGAGTCAGTGAAGGTGGCAAAAGTGCCCTGTGTTTTTATTAATGATGGATGCCTGTGTTACAGACTCCCTCTGTTCCTGGAGGTGTTTGCTAATTAAATCCTTAATTAGGCTCTGGGTTGTGCGGTGTGGTTGACAGCCGTGAGATCCACCAGACCCAGTCTGGCTTTGGCACGCTGTAGGCACCAGTACGCCACTGAATTATTGTGGGGTATCCCAGAGGCAGCTTTTTCAAAGCCACAGTTCTGGAGGGAGGGAGTACCAAAAAGTAGACCATTTTCAGATAAATTAATAAAAATAACATAGAAATCAATCTGCTGTTGTGGTTGCAAACCTAGAGTTAAAGGTCATCTAGCTGCAGTGCTCCCTGTTCATTAGAGGGTTTGAGCCGTAGCTGCAGATCCCGAGCCTCAGTCTATCTGTGTCATCCCGCAGTTGACAGTTTCTCCCTCTAATTCCCTTTTAGGGCCCGTCCTTGAGGTCAGTGTCTCTTGGGCTTAATAGTCACAGTCTTGGTAAAACAGCTGCGTCATCAGGGTTGGCACAGAAGGGTTACTTCCTCATGATGCCTCTTCCTGTTGTGTCTGAATATTTCCAGGGATGCTTCACACTGAGCTTGCTTTTTGCCTTTGAGAACAAACTACCCCTTCCTTTGCTGTGTTTCCATAGTATTAAAAAAAAAACCAACAAAAAAAAAAAAAAAAAACACACAAAAAAAACCACACAAAAAAACAACAAACAAAACAACAAAAAAACCCCACAAAAAGTCTCATTGACTTATTGTACATAACATTTAGCATGTACTATGCTCAGAAGAATTCACACTTAACCGCTACTTAATATGCTAGGAACTGAAGATTTCAAGATGGATGAGTTTAGAATATAATTAACCTAGCTTGTCTAAAGATACAATAATAATCACCCCAGAATGTTTTTCTGTTGATTATACAAAAAACGTTTTTTTGTGGAGCTTGTAATGGTTGTGATTAGAATATATTATTTTTTTTTCCCAATGTATGTAGAGAATTTCACTGATATATCTCAGTATTATGCTTTCTAATACAAGTTTTTCAATGAAAATCCTCAGTCTGCACCCATGTATCAGTATCTGGAACGAAAAATGTTTAAAGAAGCCTATCAAATTGCATGTTTAGGAGTAACTGATACTGACTGGAAAGAACTAGCGATGGAAGCCTTAGAAGGGCTGGAGTTTGAAACTGCTAAAAAGGTAAAGCAGTTATCTACTCATAAAACAAACTTCCTGCTAATTATTTTTTTATATGTATAGTGTGTGTATGTATAATGTATGTTTTATGGCTGGAATTCAGAGTGGTGTTCTTGGGTTACTATCTTGCTTGTCTGTAGTGAATGCATGTTATTCCACATACCAAAGAAAACATCGGTTTGTTATATACTCAGGAAGTTGAGATGGGGTTTTGAACTGAAATCTAATTTATCTCTCTAGATAAATGCCATGTTCTAAACCCAATTGTTAAATGCAGAGAAAATGGTTTCTTTCATCATCTGGAAAATGCGTTGATGAATTTGAGGGAAATAGGACTGGAAAGTTGCTCAGTGGTGCTGCTGACCACCGGGTGGCAGCAAAGAATGCCTTAGCCATAAACTTCGTCTCCTTTCCCCCAAATATTTCATATAACCTCAGTTCAAATGTGGAGGTTTCATATTCTTTGTTATCTACACATTAATGTTCTTTGAAGGCAGTGGTGATGGGATGCCATCGTTTTAGTTGTTTTCTATCTGGAATGCCTTTTTTGGGGAGTGGTCTATAAATAGGCATATAACGAAGAACAGAGATTTCTCCGGCATAAAATACTTACGTATTTTCTTTCACCACCTTTTCTCAAATAAGAGAGGGTGAACTGAGTTCAGTGTCATGAATATTATATGAAAGACAAAACATTCTAAAAATATGCAGGGAATGGCCTGTAATGATAGGCATCTTTTAGTAACACATTTTTTTAAAAGGAAATTAAATGCTTTATTTTTTTTTTTTTCTTGAGTGAAGGCATCAGAATAATTCCAGTTTCATGGACAGCTTTATGCAAATATGTATTCTGAAAAAGAAGTTTTCAGTGCCTCCTTGGAATTTTAAAGTAGTGCCCTCTTAGAATTAGAGCGGATTAATTTGAACAAAAGCAGCTTCTTGACATTAAAGGCTCTCATAGTTCCTAGTCCGATCCGGTGTAAGCAGAATATTCTATGCCCTCTTAAGCATTAGTTTGGTTAGAAGTCTTGAATGTGTGGTGTAAAGAGTTAAATTTCTATTTTTTGATGCATGTCAAGAATAAGTGGTAAGCTGCTGTAACTCGCACGTGACTTTACCACTTGAGACTTTGGGTTGCACATTTATCTCCATTTGCAAAAGATATTACACTGTCTTGCAGTACTTTTATCATCTTCTTACTTCCTTTCCTCTCCCTGAGCTACTTCCATACTGCGTTTTCAGAATGGTAGAAAAACTATAAGCATATGCAGTATGCTTTGGCAATACAATCAGTTATACATTCTACCTTGTCATAGTTTCCTTACGCTTCCTTGTCTGTATCATGCCTCACATCCAAATGGAAAAGCTATAAAATAGCTGGAACAGAAGTATGTAATATTTTAAATGGCGTTTTATGTTTCCTGGGGGACTGGCATACACCTACTAGTCCCTGCCTTTGCTGTTTATTTTTGGTGATAAGCTGTTTGGATTGTACCCTTGTCTCCTTTACTGTAATGCCTCAGGGGCTGCAGTTGTTGTCAGAGCCCATCAGGTTAGGGACTACACAAACACAAACCCCAGCATATTTCTGTCTGTCCTGTTCACATGAAGACAGCTTGATTTGTCTATAACTATTTTTTTTTTCCTGGCTTTTCAAGTTAATTCCTTTAATTTGTTTTTTCTTTTCAATAGGCATTTACCAGGGTACGAGACCTTCGATATTTAGAATTGATCAGCAGCATAGAGGTAAGAGAGTGTTAAAGATAGTGTATTTTCTTACACTTAGTACTATACCAAAATCAGTACTTTGCATTTTGGAGCGACTTTTGTTTGGATAGTGCTTCTGACTTGGAGGTGTGTTTAGAGTGAAAAATCCTGATTAGCAAAGGTGATTCTTCAAATTCTAGTTATAGAACTGAAACTCCACGGAAATGAAGTGGGGGGTGTGGAACAACAAGAACTTCTGAAACTGTCTTCAGGAAAACTGGAAAAATGTTCAATATTTAATTAATAATTGGTAGAATACTACTGTGCTAACAGAGCTTGGTACAGAATACTTTATAAGCATGAGTTAATTAAGCCTCTCCTTACCCCCTGGAGGTAGGTAATTACTATTATCTCCTCCTCACAGAGCCAGAAACAGGCCCAGAGAAATAAAATGACAAACTCAAAGTCTCATGACACGTCTGTGACAACTGGAAATAGAATTTGGGATTCCTTACTTTCATACTGTGCTCTAATCACTAGTTCTTATTCTGTTCACACTCTTTGATAGAATTTCACCAGACAATAACTATCTGTGATGAGCACATTAAAAGACACGGTCTAACCCTTGTCCTTCTACAAAGACCACGTGATAATGCTTAGTTTAAAGTTCTGGATGCATGGCATAAAGGGGATTCCTCTTTCTCATGCTAATCAGATTTACACCTTCTCTGAAAGAATACACTCCTCGCCTCCCATTTCTGTGGAGCTGTCCTGGTTCTCTCAAAACACCAGTTGGTTGCAGTTAGCTTTTCTTGGTGTCTGACATGGGACAAAGTTCTGCATTAGCAGCCCCTCCTCCTTTTTTTTTTTTTTTTTTTTTTTTTTTCATTTCAAGGGTAGGTCGGTAGATGAGAGCATTCTCTCACCACTGATAACTTTTCTTTTCCACATATGTTTTTCCAGATCTGTGTCTACTGAGGATATTCTGGAATTGTCATGTTATGTTCTGTTTAATGAGGAAGATTTCCTTTGTAAATAGGCATCAACTTACTTTCAGACTTCTTGAAAATCTTCCTTCTGAAGTGAGAGTCCTGCATCATTGCTTACTCTCGCTTGTGGTGTACCAGATGCCTTTTAAGGCTTGTAAGGGTGTCGCTAAGCAGACATGTTCCATTAATATGATGGTTTTCTCTCAGTAATAACACTTTTTTTTCCCTAATTGATGACAGCAGGAAACATAACTGCCAGATCTCTGTATCTGGAAGATTCTGTGAAGTCCTTAAAAAAAAAAAATGGTGTAGCAATTCCTCTGATTATTCCTTTAACCAGACGTTTAAAGGGGACTTTCAACGCCGGTCGGGTGTCCGCCTGGCCAGTAAGTGTGTCCAGAAGTGATGGCCGGGTCACCTTTGGCAGGGGGCAGTTGAACTCGTGCGCCGGCGGAATGCTTTCCCGCGCTGGCGCAGCGTAGATCCACTTGGCACCGGCACGTTCCCGCCCGAACGGCGGTAGCGGTCCGGCCCGAAGCGGGGCAGTGCCGTGTCTCCGAGGCCCGGGGTGAAGCCTGCAGGTTAAGGCAGGGGCGAGCGGGCCCCCTGGGCCCCTGGGCCTGGCCGGCGCGGCCCGCCCGGGGCCCGCGCAGCGGCGGCCTAGCGAACTCTTGGAGCCCGCTGATGGCGAGCGGTCGCTTTCGTGTCTGTCATCCCAGCCGCACATACTGCTAATCTAGACAAATTATATGCTAGTGAGCTGCTACGGAAGAAAACAAGGAGCCCGTCAGATGCCGTTTTTAAAATAGCTTAGCATAATGATAGCATGTGCTCGTTTTCCTGGGTGAAATCAAGAGAAGTGATTTTTCATCACTTTCGTTTGTATAGTGACATTTAATTTTACTTTTCCTAATTTTAATTAAGAAGGGATTTAATCTTTTAATTATAAATTCACCAGAAATGTAGGAGAGGCATAATTAGGATGTTCTGTTAGAGGTTCTTACCAACAGTTAAAATGTAAGCCTGAAAATCAAATTCTTCAATGGCTACTTCTCACCTAGGTCCTGACCATCTAGAATATTTTCTACATCTCTTCTTTTTTTTTTTTTCCTTTTTTTTTTTTTTTCTTTTTTTTTTTTTTTTTCCTTTTCCTCTCCCAGGAGCGGAAGAAGCATGGAGAGAACAACAATGAACTGTTCCTAGCAGATGTTTATGCCTACCAGGGAAAATTCCATGAGGCAGCAAAGTTGTACAAAAAGAGCGGACGTGAAAACTTAGCTCTCGATATGTACTCTGATTTACGCATGTTTGACTATGCAAAGGTAATAGTATAAAGTGTATAACACACTAACCTAGTATATTTTTGTTTACTGGAGAATTTTCTTCTAGAGATTCAATATGGCTTGGCTTTTTTTTTTTTTAATCTGTTTCTATGTAGAATTAAATTGATTATGGTTTTTAAAAGTGATGTTTTTATACGGTGATAAGAAAGCATTACTTGGCTTTTTAAGTCTTCGATGGTGTTTTCTTATCAAAATCCCTGAGAAAGCACACACTGTTTAGTCTCATTCATCACTCATCAGAGCCTTATTCAGCCCAATACAGGACAAAGGCTTTACCATGACATGCATATAAACCATTTTAGCATACATTCCACAAACTGTGGTACAGAGAGATCTTTTTCTTCCAAGCGCTTAATATAAATACTTTGGGGCTTTGCTGATGTAAGTCTGACTTCCACTATTTTTGGCTGATGAGGCTTTGTTAGCTTCAGTGTTTTGGCTCCTCTTGAACATAAATGTAATTCATAGATGAAAATTTTCCCATAAGTCTGCATAAGACTCTTTTAATTCTTGGCTGTAGTCATGTCTATATTTAACTAGCAGAGAGCAAAACATCTTGTCTGCTATCCTTGAGTGTAACTCTGTGCAGAGGAAATTAAAGGTACTTCACAGCATTTGAAGGAAGCTTCTTGTGCAGGGAGTGCACAATACATGGAAGACTATGTAACCCCCCCCTTGTTTGCCAGTTGTTTTCCAATGAGAGATTTGAGGGGAGGGTGTGTGTTTGTGCTGGGTTTCGTTGTTGTTTTAATGCTGCCAGAACTATGCAAAGGGACCCTTACAGAATCTGATTGCTTGGGCTTGACTTTGCTTAACTCTGGCTGGTGAGTCCAGACTGGTGGCAGAGGTCAGGAAGCCCTTTGATATCTGGTCGTAGGCTTGTTATCGCTGTTCCAGATCACAGATTACGGAGAACTCACAAAAAACTCTTTATACTGTAAGAAGCTGAGCTTTTGATTTTTGACTTATTTTGGTGACCTAAGCTGGAAAACAAATTGTGTCAAAGATACTGTTCAACTTGTTTCTTTGCTTCAGTTTTTCATATTTAAAGATTATCATGACATCTTTATAGTTATTTGCTTGAATCAGGCAGGACTGTGTTGCAGTAGGTAATGCTAAAGCAAAATCCTATGTGGAGCTCATTTAAGAGCTGACATCGAGATGGGGTATGGTTTTGGTACCTGTTGACGGGGTACACCAGGGAAACTGGTGAATTGTGGTAGTGGAACAGATCTGTTGTGTGGGGGGTTTTCACTTGTTTGTTGTGTTGTTTTGGGTTTTTAAAACCTGAATCAGAATTTACCAGAAACACAGAGGATAAGGTAATTTTCCACACTCTTCTTACCCTTCTATTCCTCCTCTGTTCTAATATTTCATGTGCTAGAAGCTGTTCTAATGGACAGTAGCCTGTTCTGTTAACAGGCAAAATTGCCCTTAACTGATCTTCTGGTGTTGAAGTACTTCCTTTTTTTCTTTTTTTTTTGACTCCCCCTTGGCACATGACGTCAACAGATGTGAACCGTATAGTGCCAGGGCTTTGGTATTGGCAGAAGCAGCTGAACAAACTATCAGAAATATTTCCAAACTGGTCATCATCCCAGCATCCAGGCTTGGTGTTTGCATTCCTTGCAGAAGTCCAACCAGTAGTTCAGAGTCACTCTCACTTTTGAGCAGCTGTCATTCTGTCCTTGTAAAAGAACTTCTTTGATATATTGTAATGTAATTATCAAGTGTCTTTGCAGAAAACAAAATTTCAGCCTTTAATTGATTTGCAGCTGGACATCCTGATGCTAGCATATGATTAAGTGGGTTGGGTATACTATTGTTAACTAAGCATGGGGTGAAGCTGAGTCATCTTTGAGAATGAAACCATACCTTCTGGGCTTGCAAAAGAAAGGTTCAAACTTGGAATTGTTACATTACATTTTTTGAGATTAGTAGTATTTTGTTTTGGAAAGGCACGTTCCTGAAAAGCATGCAGAAATCATAATTTGTATCCGCTGAAACAGGATCTCCAGAGAGCAAGCTTTCCAAGAAATCAAGTGGGGACCTATCTATAACCTAAGAGGCATCTGTACCATCCTTCTCCTGGCCCTCCCAGAATCTCCCACTTTTTTTTTTATTTTTTTTTTCCTTTTAATTGAAAACTATCTAATTGGGAGACTTTCTATTGTTTCCTACCAGACATTGGGCCTTGATGATTAGTTGCTGAAGGCTGGATCAGTTCATGTTGCTCCATATGCAGTATTTCTTTTCTTAGGAGGCGTAATGATATTCATTAAAAAAGTCTTTATGTATTTTGGAAATTGGACTGTAACAATGTTTGTGACCAGAGGGTAACGCAGACTTTTGTATTGCACTATTTCAGGATTTTCTGGGATCTGGAGACCCCAAAGACACAAAGATGCTAATAAAAAAACAAGCAGATTGGGCCAAGAATATCAATGAACCACAAGCAGCAGTGGAGATGTACCTCTCTGCGGGCGAGCACATGAAGGCCATAGAAATCAGTGGTGACCATGGCTGGGTTGATATGTAGGTTTTAGTTCCACCTCAGAGATAATATTTAGTAAAAACTCAAATAGTTGTTGCAGATTCTGTATAAATTTAAAATAAGGCAAATCTTGTTTATATCAAATAGAGTATTTGAAACACAGCTACAATTAAAAATTTTTTAAGTTACATATGTTTAGAAAGTAGGGACATAAATATGTTGTGAAAACAAATGAGTTACAACAGTAAAGAGTATGAATGGGTTCATCTGTAGTATGAGACTGTCTTCTAAAATATGCATGCCTTAAGCTTTTCAGAGTAGTCATCGCAGCAGTGCTTGTATGATAGCCTATTTCTGTTTTGAGCTGTTAAGGATAATCATCTAGTGGGTAGAGAAGACAACTGGAGCACAGAATCCCAAGAAATTCTGGGGCAGCTACTGTCACTGGTCAAATTCTCCTTGATTAGCAATAGCTGACACTTTGGGTTGCTTGCTGAGTTGTTGTAAGGTCTCAGACAGGTCACTCAGCTTTCCCTTGCCTCAGTTTTGCTGTGTGGCACAGCGGGTAATGTTTAGTCAGGAGTCTTGTTCAGGTCAGGGTCGAGGAAGTGTGTCTCATGTCATTTAGTCATGTAGGACCGACTCTCTCCCTCCGTCTTCACGATCGTGCAGAGTCTGCGATACGGAGCTACGCGTATGAGTAAAGATTGAAGGAACAGGTTTCAAGTTTGTAAAAGGAAAAAAAAAAAGATTTTGGAACGTTTACTGAAAACTGTTTAAATGGTATTGCACGGTAATACTATTATGATATTTTAATAAATAATGACTGATTAAAGGTGAAGTTATTACAATAATTAAACAAAAGGCAAACCCCAACAAGGCAGAACCTGAAACATCTGGCTTCTTTTTACTGGGTCTAGGTTAATTGAAATTGCTCGAAAACTGGATAAAGCCGAGCGTGAGCCTTTGGCAAAATGTGCCTTCTATTTTAAGAAACTCGATAACCCTGGCTACGCAGCAGAAACCTACATGAAGGTTGGTGACCTGAAAGCATTGGTCCATCTCCACGTGGAGACTCATCGCTGGGAAGAAGTAAGCATGCCCTTGATTTCTGTGTTTCAAACCACTACTTCTTACTGTCTCCGGTTGCAAGAGAGGGAGACAGATGTCTGGCTCCCCCACCCCTGAAGCGAGGGGAGAGGCAGGCAGGGCGGGAGGCTTCTGTAGAATGGGATTCAGAATACTTCAGTTAGCTTTGTGTGCTCCGTGTTTGTTTGGTCGTGGCTTTGGTCTTGTTTTTCTTTTTTCTGCTTTTTAGTTTCCTGGCTGCATATTTCTTGGTCTCACTTCTGAGCACCTTTTTTTGCTTGTTGTGTTATAGTTGCCCACTTCCTGTAGTAATCCATGGGATGCTGCTAGTCACAAAGAGTAAATAGTAATTATATCATGGGAAATTCTGGTTTTAACTGTATTATTTATAATTTGGACACACCTGAGTGAGAATACCATACACATGATTTAGATCTGGTGAATGTGCACTGTGTTAGTGTGGACTCCACTTTATAACCGGATTTATGCTTTTGATTAGGTAAATTTCTGACTTTACTGGGGTTTTTCCTTAAAAACATGGGTCTGCCAGTACCAGCCACTTCACAGTTAAGATCTTGTTTCTTCACATTAAGTTTTTGATAGGTGTAGTTTCTTAAGGAAATGTTTTCAAAGTGCTGCTGGAATTGACAAACCCCCTCTCCTAATTATATGGAGGCTTTGGAAAATTTTAGACTTAGTCCTTTATTGACTAGCTAGCAAGTTTAGAAAGTGAATCTAAACTGATTTTATAGTGTTACTTCAGTTTCTTTAGGAGATATATTCAGTAAAAATAAAAATATTTTTGTCTCTTGATGTGAAATCTACTAAATTTCCTGGATAATCACTTTCAAGATTCCCTGATTCAATAACCAGACTGTTACTATGCATAGCTTCTTTTCTTTTGTTGTTGATTGCTTTTTATTTTAAAACACATTAGTTTCATACTGGAGAAAATATGGATTACACTCCTTGTTCTGTGTATGTATTTTTGTTGTGAATTTACTTAGAGCTAAGGGATTGATCCCATGGAATATTCTAAACCTTTTAACTGTTTAAACCATGCAGTATTCTAAAAATGAATTTTGTTACTTACCTCAGGCATTTGCTTTGAGTGAAAAGCATCCTGAATTCAAAGATGATGTCTATGTCCCTTATGCTCAGTGGCTGGCAGAGAATGATAGATTTGAAGAAGCCCAAAAAGGTAAGAATGCTGCTGACAGATCACTGGTCACTCGAAATTCATTCCATACTTTTCCAATACAGAATACAGTCTCTGCCCTGCAGAGTTTCTTATCAGTGGAATTCAAAACCAAATAGAATCTGTGTTCTCATGCCGGTCTTGAAGTGGCTGGAGGTCTCCTTAAAGAAAATGTGATGGATTTATCAAAAGTGATGGCATCTAAATACAGGTCCAGATTATCCATCTCATGGTGTATCTGAGTGTGGCACGTGGCACCAGTATTTGGCATATAAGCTGAACTGTCTTTATTAATATTTTTATCACAACAGAATTCAAAATATGGCAGCCACCTCACAAACCTGAGTAGAAAGCATAGTTTTTCCTTATGTCTAAGTAATGCTGGGCTTGTACAAGTAACATTTTCCTTTTTCTTTAAGAATTTTCATGTAATTTAAAGGTAATTTTATAAGCCTCACAAAAGAGAACTGTCAACCTTCAATCATGTGGACAGGCTTCAAAATTTAATTCATCAACTGTTCCAGGGACAAGGAGATGTTGAAGCAAGCTCCATGTGGAGCCAGCCCGTTTGTAGTAGAGTTATTTTTCTCGGGTGCAGCTCCATGTGACTGTTGCATCTGCTGTTCCCAGAGCCAGCTCGGAGCTAAGTGTGTAACTGGATTTGCTTATACGGGCCAAGCTAGTGAACACACCAGACATGATCTGCCTCCACACAAAACTAGTTTGTGCGTCTCAGCACAAAACCTTTGAGCACCTGGTTTTAGGGCAGTTTGGTAGGTTTGCATAGAACTCTCTGAATAGAGGTATATTGTTCCAGTTTGTTCCGCACAGCTCTGTGCTGCTGTGGTTTAACAAAAGTAAATGCCCCAGATTTGGGTGAGTGAGAGGTCACTGTGTAGCTGTGTGAGAATTTGGTTATATCTGGGCTAGCTGAAGCCAGGAGGCAGCTGTGCTGTGGGCCTGGGTTTCTTGGGGGTTGGTTCCCCCCATCCCCATTACACTATACGAAAACTGTGTTTGCCAAATGCATGTTTACCAAGTGAAAATTCAGGATCTTATTTTATATACTGGCTTCTGAGCATCAAGTAAAGAAATGCTGTTAATAAATGACAGAGAAATGTAGTAAATGCTGTACTCTCTCAAAATACTCAGCATTACAAACCAGTGCACTAACTTCAAACACTAATTTGTTGTAGTTTTGAATGAAGTTGTGATTTGCAGTGTTTAGAGATTGCTATTATTTGTATAGAGATCTAATCATCATAGCACTTTTGCTCTTTTCTGTATTAAAAAAAAAAAAACAAACCCACAAGCATTGTACAAAATCTGTGAGCTCAAGAGCCGCGAAGACAGCGCAGAAGCCACAAAATGCCTACAGATGCTTCTCATGTTCCATTAGTGTTGCTGCTTTCAAGGAGAAAAATACCACTGTATAATCCTTTTTATCCTGCCCTGGATAGACTATTTGATATTGGCTGAATAGACTGCTCTTAATTTAAAAACATTAATTTCAGTTAATTGATATAATTGCACTGTAAAATCCTCTTTGTTTTGTCCCTCTTTATAGCATTTCACAAGGCTGGCAGGCAGAGTGAAGCTGTAAGAGTGCTGGAGCAGCTAACGCACAATGCTGTGGTTGAAAGCCGATTTAACGATGCAGCCTATTATTATTGGATGCTTTCCATGCAGTGCTTAGACATAGCCCAAGGTAAGTAACTGAAAGGAAGTTGATGTCTGTTACCTTCTTGTGTATGTAGACAATTACTGAATTGTGATAGCATTGCTGCAGCTACTTCACTGCTGTGTGGCTTTGGTTTTTTGTTGTTTTGTTTTCTTAATGCTGGGCGTAACTCTGGCTTGTGCTATTTTTGTAGTCCCCTTGGTTTTCCCATGTGCTTATTTAAAACTAATCAGCAAACCGGCAACATCAGCGTGCGTAGGCCTCCTTTTGAAATCTGACTGGAATCAAAATTGTGTCTCCTGGGACCGTGTATCCTCATGTACCTTCCTACAACACACTTTAACTGGAGAAGTGATTGGAGGGTTAAAGTGCTAGTAAATAAAAGATGACTGTGGTGTATAAGATACATCTAGTATTTGAACAGGGATTGGGGAGGTACTTAACAAATTATTTCTGCCAACAGAAATAAAACGGATTGCTCATTAGCTACCATCTTGTCTTCTGAACATATTTCAATGGGAGAGAGGTGGAGCCAGTAGTTAATCGGTGTAATTTAGTAATAATGAGTACAAAAGACTGATAATAGTTCCTTTTTCCTGGTGCCATTAGTACCTTTTTTGGTTTTTTAGAGAGATGCAAACTTTTCCAATTGGCTTAGTAGTGTATTTAATATTTATGAAGAAAATGGTTCAGAGCTCATTTTACTTGCAAACATAGATGAGGTTTCCAGTGATGCACACCTACAATTTTCTACCTGTAACTAAGCTACAGCCTCCAGCTATGTTAAAACCATTGCCTCAACTGTTTTGTGTTTCACCATGCTTCATTTAGGGCAGAAATTTGCTCAGAAAAATGGCAAGTCTGTATAATGTGTGGTTTGCACAGGTACGGGGAACACACTTGAACTGGTACGTACCTCTTTTAGAGGTGCTGGAGCTAAAATCAGAACATGCTGCTTTTCTACCAACAGAGTCTCATAGACCCATCTTGGAGACTTAACGCTAGTGCCTTTGCCTCCCACAGAGAATGAACAACAGAAGACTGAAATGTTGCAGAAGTTTCATCACTTCCAGCATTTGGCAGAAGTTTACCATGTCTATCACTCGATTCAAAGATACACTGTAAGATACTTTAGAAGTTGTGTGTTTATGCTTCCTGAGCATTTTTCTTTAGGGAGTCCAGAAATAACTAGGAATAATTAATGACTCTTCAGGCAATTAAATATTGAGGGTAAATTAGTGATACTGTATAGTGGCTTGCTTTCTTTCTTTTACTGTATTATACAGCCTTCTGTTGTTCTGTATAAGAACTTCTGTTGTCTCGGTCCCTAAGAACTGCAGTGCAGTTTTAGCAGATCTGTGCTTGTCCCGGTGTGGGTAGAAGACGTGCCCATGACTGACTGCCACCCCCAGCCCTTTTTTGCTAGTTACAGCGGTTTGGTTCCACAGTGACCCGAGCCTCTGGTCCTACACAGGCTACGGTCAGCTCTTCCTTTAATCACAGGAAGAGAAGATTGAGCAGAAGAAGGCACCCCAGCTTAGGGATTCCTCCAACGTGGTACATGTATCAGTAGTAATGTGTGTAAACTACTCCAAAATGATAAGCAGACGTGAGTGAAGGGCTCCTGTTCCTTCCAGCACTTGCAGTAATGTTGCGCCGCTGCTGGTGAAAACATCTTTTGTAAAACATTTGGGAACCCTTGATCCGTGCCCTTGCCCAAAGGACGACTCTGTGCTGTGGGGGCCTTTGCTGGTCAGACCACTTCAGACCGTACCGTGGTGGAGACCCTACACAACTGCTGGCCAGCCTGCCCTCGTTTTTAAATAGCCTGTTGAAGATTCTGTTCTCTCTTTTTCTGCCTGTAGCCAGCATGAGCTTTGGTGATAAAGACATGCAAAATCCACTTGCTATATTCTGTCAGCACCTCTTTTTGCAGCTGTATGAAAGAAACACAGTACTTGAGATGCCTAGTGCTGAGATGCTTAGTGATAGGAGTTGTTGGTTTTCCAGCTTAGAAATATGTGTCTGTATTTTTAATACTGCAGGAGGAGCCTTTCAGTTTCCACTTGCCTGAAACCCTCTTCAATATTTCCAGGTTTCTACTTCACAGCTTAACAAAGGAGACTCCTTTGGGGATCTCAAAAGTGTATCCTTCCAATACAGTACAATGTCTAGAAGTTATCTTGTGAGATACATGAAAGGAATAATTGATGTTGATCCACAATGCAGAAATCTCCCGCAGGGTATCTTCAGTTTCAGCTGTTGGTTATAGTTAATGGAAACTGACTTTTGTCCCTAAGGAAATAATCAGCATCTTCAAACCATTATGTGTTTAACTGTGCTAGCTTTTTTTTTTTTTTTTTAATAGTTTTGGAGAGCTGTACGAATGAACTAACACGTTATTCTCAAAACCACGCACCCCGTCTGGTGCATCACCTTTGTCAGAGAAGCAAGTTGTAGGACCCCAGTCGCTGCAACAGGCTGTTGGCTCTGAATCTTGACAGTGTTGATGCAAGGAGACTGAACTGAGGCAGGAGGAGGGACCCAGGAGCCTTCGCCTCGCATGAGGCTGCTGTGGCTGTGTCGGGTCTGTCAGGCTAACGTTTGCACAGCTTTGCTGGTGCATATTGCATCTTTGGAGAGTACTCCGCCGGCGCTCGGTGGGAACCCTGTGGAAGTGCACCTGCCTGCAAAAGATAACAAGAGGGGTCGCTGGATGCCACAGGGAGGCCGGGTTTTCTTGTTTTCACTTCATTTCTGGCTTTAGATGGGATGTTAGCTTTCCTTTTCATATCACTTCGAAATGTATAATCTTTCATAAAGTCTTTCATAACATGCCTTGTGATCAGTGGCTTTCTGAACAGCAGTTACTGTTATACACTGATGAAAGGGAAAGACAGCCCTTGGTCAGGGACACAGAGCATATGCTTTATTTGCAGTAGGATCATGTGTATTTAGCTGGTGTCTGTGGGTTGCTGGTGGTGTAAGATCTTTTTTTTTTTTTTTTTTGGCTGGGGGAAAATCCATTCACCCTAAAATTATTGAAATTCTGTAAATGGAGTCAGAATATTTAACCAAAGCAACGTTTATGTAGGGTCAATTCCTTACCTTGCTAATAATTTCCCACATATTATTTTGATAGTTCTTCCATACTTGTTTTTAAATGGAGTCCTATAAATAGAATTTTCTTGTTAAAGCCCCTTTAAAGTCCCCAGTGCTGGATATGCTTCATTGCGCAACTTCTCTGATTAAAAAGAGTATTGCAGTTTTTCCTAAATGCCATAGGTATTTTTATTCCTTAATTAAATTGCAGCAATACGTTATTTGCCCTGGCAAAACAGAGTAAAGCTCTTGGTGCATACAAACTGGCTCGCCATGCCTATGACAAGTTACAGGGACTGCAGATCCCAGCTAGGTTCCAGAAATCAATTGAGCTGGGCAGCCTGACAATCCGATCCAAGCCATTCCATGACAGTGAAGTAAGTTGTGATGTGTTTCATGTTAATGATTAATAGGTGGTCTAATCCAAGAATCTGAGTTGCTGTGTGCACGAAAAAATGGAAAATATATTATGCGTAGCTCTGATATAATTATATTCCTGCTTGAAACACAGTCCTTTTGTTGTTATTCTTCAGGTCAGACTTCCTTTTGCTCCTGAGAACAAATTAAAATCAGTCCTTTCTTTATGGGCAGCTTCCATCCTCCCTCTCCTGTCTTGCATCTCCCTTCCTCTCTGCCTATTAATTCTTCCAAGCCTTTTCTCTCCGATCCACATGCAATTACTCCACAGTCTTTGTGTCTCTCTCCAGCTGGAGGTCACTTTCATTTGTCCCACTCCTAGCCCTCCTTCCCTCCTCCCCCTATCCCTTGGATGACCTTCCTTCCCTAAGTCTTATTTTAACACCTTTTCTTCTTTAGCTGAAGTCTGACTTTCTGCAGTGCTCTATAAAGCCCTGTCTCACGGAGTACTCACTAAAAATAAATCGTATTGTGCAAGTGAACATGCACCTGGCCACCTGAAATAATAGAAACACAGTCTTAAGAACTGCCTAAAATAACTGTGCTCTCGAAAAGAAGAGATTAATTAATTGGAGAACTTGAATTTGACCAAACCTTAAAGCAAAAAACTTTGCTTTGGTAATCTTCTTTTCGACTTCTTTTGTCACTGTGTATTTGATGCAGAATTCTGCTTCTCTTATGGCAAAGGCAAGGTGAAAATTTAATTGTTAGAATGGTGAAGACAGCTATTCTTAATGCGAAAACTTGCTGTTTTATTAAAAAGGGAAAGCATTTTCAGATGTTAAAGGATCCAGTTTCACAGCAGTATTTCTCCAGATTAGCACCGATGTAATATCAGTGTAAACCTAAGGAGCACATATTTAATTGAAAACAAAGACTTCAGGATGTGCTGATCTGTTTACAATTACTGTGCTCTGTGTGTGTCTTTGCAGGAGCTCGTGCCCTTGTGTTACAGGTGCTCTACCAACAACCCTTTGCTAAATAACTTGGGGAATGTCTGCATTAACTGCAGACAGCCTTTCGTCTTCTCTGCTTCCTCCTATGGTGCGTTGGAATATCACACTTGGTTGTGCTTTTCAAGTACATAAATGTTAACTGAACGGAGTAGATTAGTACTTAATTTGTTCTCTCTGCAGTGGTATTTGGACAAACAAGTCTTTCCTTTTAATGTTGTTAGATTTGACTAAGTGGCTGCCTCTTGTCCCAGGGATTGTTGGATTTCACTGCAAGATAGCAGCAGCAGTAAAGCGTTGCTTTATTATGAGACACTGAAGTGTTTCATTAACACAGATGCAGTCATTTGAGAAGTTGAGGGGGCTTTGGTTTGGTTTATTTTATTTTATGTGGCCAGAACACCGCTGTCATAGAAGCCAGAGAGAGTGTTCATTTCTTAAGGGGCACAGTATCTTCTAGGAGGCATTTTCCGAGTTCTTGCAGGTCAAATGCTCCTTGCTTTTCACACCCCTTCAGAAGTACTGCATCTGGTTGAGTTCTATTTGGAAGATGGCATCACAGATGAAGAAGCTGTAGCTCTCATTGATCTTGAAGCTCCAAGACTGAGTAAAAGAGAGAATAAATGGCAAGAGATGATGAGTGACAGTATCCTTTTGATTAAAATTGGTTTCCAGTCTCTTTCTTAGGTGGGGAAAAAAAGCAACAATTTTGAATTTAGTTTTTTTCCCCCCTTAGGTTGAAAATTTTGTCTTATGATTGCTGTGAGTACAATCGCATTGTGTTCCCTTTTCAAGTTAGTATAAAAACCAAAGTGATGTTTTAACTAAACCTACTATTGTCATAAAGCTTTGTCGCCAGGACAATTAGTTTCTAATCGTGAAATATTTCTTACTAGCAATGGAATGCCATGCTTTACCTATTCTAACAGCTTTTTATAGCGAATGGAGAGAATCTGAAGTGTATTATTCACTTCCAATAACAGCTTGCTTTAGAGTCTGCCTTCTCTTAGCCGAGGAAAACCAGCATGGACGTTCTTCATAACCATTCCTGCTGGAATCTGGTTTGGAATGCTTTGGCATCCAGAGCTCCCACTTACTGCGGGGGCCATGTAATATTAGGTGCAGAGTGATGCACAAGAAAACACAATCTCTGACTAAAGCTGCTCAATATTGTAATTTAAATAGGTTGCTTCATTTGCTTTGCCATCTGTCAGGAGGGGGCAGAGGGAAGGGAGGCAGAGCTGACCTCATACTCGCTGTGGTCAGTTTTGCCGTTCGGCAGCAGCTGCAGTGATAAATTTCCCCAGTCACTGTGAATCACAGCAAGCCCTTCTCTAGCACTTTCTGTAATAATCCAGGCACTGTACCAGTTTGAGAACACTCTGGAGCAACAGGGATTCTGGTCCTGCTGGTATGCTTTCTTATTTGTTCTGTGAGTGCTAGCTACTGCGAGGACAGCTAATTTTACAGAAACTTTTTCTTCCTTAAGAAATGTGCCTAGATGCACAGAGTTTGAGGCTCGATGACAATACAGATATTATTGAAGATGATGATCCCTTTACAGCAAAACTGAGCTTTGAGGTGAGAGCCTTACCTGTATCTTCTAGTTGTTTGTTTCTTGCTACCAACAGAAATGAATAGAAAATTTTAACTTACAATTCATGCCGCTCTTTTGGTGTGAATACGTAACAAAGATTACCACAAGAGCGACACAAAGCAGGGGACTGGGAGAGAGCGTGGCACTTGAGAGAGAAAAGGATTTACCAGTTAACTGCTCTCTTGGAAAAAAAGCCAACAAAAAGCACCAGAAAAAAACAAACCTAACCAAAAACCACAAAACAGCAAAGATCTTAAAGTAAACATTCCTGGAATTTGGTGTTATCATCACGCAATGATACAATGGGGCTGTCCCCCAGGGCTTTTCTGTATCTAGGCAGTATACCTATAAAACAGTCATTACTGTGAGGTTCTAGTGAAGACTGTGGGCATGGGTGTTATTTACAAGGAATTGTGTTAAAAAGAGTAATGGAAGCTGGCTGAAACAGTGTTAGAGATGTGGCTGGGTGCTGCTGCCGCTGGAGGTATTTATAACCCTGACAGTGAGTTTAGTGGGACCAGACTCAGGCCAATTCTATATTAGATTTTTCTACTGAATTTTACTTTGCTTCTTTCAAGATTTTATTAATCCTCAAAGGGCATTGCAGTTGGTAACTAATTCTTTGTAAACCTGCTCTCCTGCAGCAAGGAGGCTCAGAATTTGTTCCAGTGATTGTGAATCGTGCTGTTCTGCAGTCAATGAGCCGGAGGGACGTCCTGATTAAACGCTGGCCAAAGCCACTGCGGTGGCAGTACTACCGTTCCCTGCTACCAGATGCCTCCATTACCATGTGTCCATCATGTTTTCAGGTAGTGTTTTCATGAAGAGGTTAAAAAAACAACAAACCCACACCCTACTGAGAACCTTATGGCTGAAACAATTCTAATCATTGAAACCTCATTCTTTAAAACGTATTCAATAAATTCCTGAATGATGTAGAGAGAGAAGGCAATGAAAACCAAAAACTAAGCTGTGTGATATGCAGAGGAACAGCTGCCCTCTGAAAACTTTGAGGGAGCTGAATTTGAGGAGTTGTACTGACAGCAAGTCAGAGCCTTTCAAGCACACTCTGGCTGACCAGCAAACGCTGATTTGTATTTATTTCTTTTTGCTCCTCTCTGACTTTCAACCTCGTCTAGCAGGGAAAATCAGTCAGTAACTAAGCCTGTGGTCCAGTCCCTCTCCCTCTCCTTCCCCTCTCAGGAATGGCTTTTTGAAGTACTGCAATTTAGTTACGTTTGCTTACACAGAAACTGTCTAATTTTTGTCCTTCTTTCTGCAAAAGTAATTAATTGGTTTGTGTCTGTTCAGCAGCATTGGCAGTGGCCTGTGAAATGTTTGCTGCTGCATTCCAGGTTATATCGCTTTCAAGCAACTGAAAGTAAGAGGGCCAATTCTCTTTTAATGGTAGCTTCAGAATGTGCCATAGAGAAGCCACTGAGCTCAGTTTGCATTTTCTTCGAGCAAGTCACAGGCTAACTTGTCCCTAAATCTGTTCCTAATTAACAGATGTTTCACACAGAAGACTATGAGCTTCTTGTACTCCAGCATAATTGTTGTCCATTCTGTCGACGGAGAATAGATGAGTCAAACCAATGAAAAAAACCAAACACTTCCTGGACTCAGAGTTTTCGTAACGACTTAGTTAAGTCATCTTACTCCATTTTGTACATAAGAGTGGAACTGAGTTGAAGAAACGTAACTAGTTTTTTATAAAGAAAATGTCTGTTGTTTGTGAATGTCCTCCACATTTCCCAGGCAAGCAGCTGAAGTGCCACAGATTTTTACATGAATGCTTCCAGGGTCAAATTCAGCCTTGAAGTAATTGTTGTTTTTACTCCAACTTGTGCTATGTCTGGATTTGCTCCTTAATATGTACCCATTATTGATGGATCTTCAAATAAACAGGACTATTTTTCACTACCCTTTGTCTTGGAATTTGCTGTAACGCTGCTGCTTCTGAACCTGAATTTTCTTTTTTTTTTTCCACTTAGGCAAGAACAGCGTTAGAGTTTAGAGCTCTTAACCTGTGATCTTGGCACTGAGGGCCATCTCACAGCCACACTGAGAGGAGGGGGGCGAAGCTTTTAATCTGTGTAGAATTCACCCTGCAGAACGCCAGGTTGTGTTAATCAAGCCACCCAGACGTGAGTACCTCCACCGCCCGCTGCCTCCTGTGTCGCCGCGACTCCTGCCGTCGTGTCTGTGTCGGTTCTTGCAGCGCCCGTGATCTGCGCCTGCCTTTGCGCTGCCGTGCTGACCAGCGCGGTGATGTGCTGCAGGAGCATTTCTGAGCAGGACTTCCCCAGCACTGTTTCAGCCCGGAGCCATGGGCAAACAAGGTGTAGAGGCGAGAGGAGATGGACCTGCCAGGTTCTACTTCAGCTGCTTGCTGAGGGGATTGCAGTGATGCAGCTGCTTGACCCAACATGGTGGGCCAGTCCCAGGCAGCAGCAAAGCCCCTGTGCAGTAGTTTGCTCACTCCTCCCTGCAGGCCTGGGGAGAAAATCAGAAGAGCAAAAGCAGGGAAGCTCACAGGTCGAGATAAAAATGGTTTGATAAGTGAAGCAAAGCTGTGTGTGCAAGCAAAGCAGTAAGGTGTTTATTCAGTGCTTCCCCGGGGCAGTCAGATACCCGGCCTGCTTCCTGGAGAGCAGGGCCTGCCAGGGGGTGATGGCTACCTGGGAGGGCAAACGCCACAAACACAAAATCCTTCCTCCTTTCCCGGAGCTTTTATTTCTGCACATGTTACCATCCGGTGCAGAATACCCCTTTGGCCAGCTGGCCCAGCTCTGTCCCCTCCCCACTTCTTGCCCAGCTCTGGCCTATTCCTGGGCAGGACAGAGTGGGGGAAAAGGAAAACCTCGGTGCCGTGCAAGCACTGCTCAGCTCTAGCTACACCCCCGGTGTGTTAGCAGCCGCACTGGTTTAGACACAAATCCAAAGCACAGCACCACAGGGCTGCTCTGGGGACGGTCACCCCCATCCCAGCCAGGCCTGCCGAATCTCCCGAGGATGGTCACAGAGCAGCTCTGGCAGTGGGAGGACGTGTGTGGGTAGCGGGCTGGGCTGGGTCGGGGCTGGGGAGCGAGAGGTCTGTTGACTCTAAGCCAGTATAAATTGTGCCCATGTTACCATGAGTTTTCTTGTTGTTATGACATCCCGTCTGTCACAGCCTCCCTTTGTTTTGAGTGGGAAATGATATTTTACTTTACTGTCTGAAGCTGCTGGCGGAGGTTGTTGGGTGCCGGTGAAGCAGCTACCACATAACCGCACTCTGCCCGTTGAACTGGTGATGTCTCCGTGTCCGCTCCAGTTCCTCTTGAAAGTCACACCCTGCACTGGCACCACGGGGTTCTGAGCCCCTCGATGCTTCCTGACCAACTCTGCTTAATTTGCCACTTCAGAAACATTCTGTTCGAATTGCCGCTCGTCTGTCACTGTTTGCAATGAAGACTTTGTCACTGACATGGATAAACAATGCTGTTTGAGATGTGAGCCAGAATGGAATTCGGCTCATTCTCCTGGAACTGAGCTGGCTTTGTAGAGCTAGTGGGAATGAAAAAATATAAAAATAAATAGATAGGGTTTGCCATGACACAGAGACAAAATGGATCAAGCAAGAAGTTTTTTTTCCTTTTTTAAGCAACTCTGAATCCAGTCTAGGTTTGAAAAGGGTACTGGGCTTTTCTAGGCAAGAACATACTCGGCCCGTATCACAGATTGTGAAGATGTTCTAGTTCCAGACTGCCTTGTGCCACTGAAACTCTCAAGCAACTTTATGATAAGGAGTTCCTCGCTGTACAAGAAGTCTCACCGTGGTGCTTGTCTGAAGCTGTTGTGAGTGGCTGACCAACAGTTTTCTTTGACTTGCAGAGTTGTTCTACCCTTTCCTGCCTGCCTGTCCCACTGCTGTGCTCCCGCGGTGACGCACGCCAGGCCCTAAGCTCTGAGCAGCACCTGCTAACCTCAGCAGTGGCTTATTGCATCAGAGCTTAAGGTGGCATATTTGTGTATTGGGAAGATAAAACTTTAATCCTTCTTGTATGCCCAGATACAAGTATGAACAGCTGCATTTGCAATTAGATAGTGGCACTGCTCTGGCCTTGGCAACGTGTGTGAAAAGTTAATTGAGAGTGACTTAGGAGGAGTGGAGCGTGTGTGAGGATGTGGCAGTTTCCCGTTGGCATGAAGGAAGACCTTTGGGACTGTCCAGAGTGATGGTGGCCTGCCTTGGGCTACAGCCAGCCCGGTCTTCCTGTGGGTGCCAGCACTTCAGCTCCTTCAGACCTTCCCCACTTACAGTGAAGGTTTCCCAGCTTGGCGTCTTCTTTAAAGAGTACAGTGCTTTGTGCGGTTTTCATTTAAACTTTTTGCGTGTGCCAAACTAACCCACAGGGAACACTGGTGAAAACTGGGCCAGGGCCAAAGTTTATTAAGGCCGAGAGGACGCATGTGCGAGCTCCAGTGGCTCTGGCACATCCTCGCGTGCTGGCCGAGGCGCCCACAGCTGCCCACTCCTGGCTGCAGGGAGTGCTCAGCTCAGCCCCCGGCCGCAGCCAGAACAGCGAGGGGAGGTGGGTGCTCAGACCCCTCCAGCCTCTGGCCCCGACCGAGGGGCAGAGCCGGCAGACCTTGCCCAGCCGCCGCGGGGGAGCCGGCTGGCACGTTACTGACTGCTGACGAGAAAGGTGGTGAACAGCGGGTGGGGAAAAAAAGGGAAGAGATGGGGAAAATAGCTCTGGAGCTTAAAAGATTAGTCACGATGGTGTGAGCTGTCTCCAGAAGAGGTACCCTCTGCGGTTGGCTTCATTGCGCTCGCTAATGTACGTGCTGTCCCCATTGCCTCTGAGAGATTAAGGAAAGGTAATGTCTAACTCAGTTGCTGGCTGGCACAAAGAACATTTCAAGCACAACTCAGTGCATTGAGTGGGGAGGCAGAGAGACGTGGAGGACATGGAAGGCTCCAAAGAGGCTTCCTCTGTGGAATTTGATGCTTCCACAAGGTTTCAGGGAGACCAGAGATGTCTGTCAACCACAAAATGAGGCTGAGTGTTGGCTTCAGCTCAGAACCTCCCTTCAGTGCCCTTGTGCGGCAACCTTCTCAGCACCAGTGCAGAATGACACCTGCCCAGGACAGGTGGTCTAGATTATTTATTAGGTGCTACCAGTGTAACTCCTTGTAGGAGTGGGCCTGGACACCCCTCTACCACTGACCGACCGCACCACACGGCACCTGCCCAGCCCAGCCGCCACCTGCAGCCCCCCAAGCCCACGGTCGTGGGGGGTTTGAACCGCAAACTTCACTCCTGGTAGCAGCAGGGCGGAAAGGAGCCTCTGTTTGCTGGCGACTGCCAGAAGTTCAGCCCAGGAGCCTTGAGAAAGCGTGGCCAAGGATCCCCATGTGCCTCGTCTTCCCCTGGCACCCTCCGCCTGGCAACCTGATGGTAATGCCCACCACTCCCAGTACCTCTCTGTGGGGAAACTGAGGCATTTCACAGTGATGGGCAGCACACCCCCGAGTGCCCGTGGAGGGTGGGCGGGGGGCCTCGGGGGCAGGAGGGGTGAGTGCCTCTCCCTGGGCGATGGGAGCGTGAGCTGTGGACGTCCAGCTCTGCGCTGTGGGGTGCAAAGACTGCCAAGGGTGCAGGGCCCACCCCAAACCCTTGCTCCCTGGGGAGCACAGCCATGCTGGGGAGCAAGGCTGTGCAAGCGGAGCTGCCATCTGGTTTGGGCCCCCCCAGTGAAAGGTGCGATGCAGAGCTACCTCCTTACATATGACCATGAACCATGGTCTCCAGCAATGACATCGTGGGCCCAAAACAGGTGTCACCTTAATACCTTCCCAGGAAAGCCAATTACCCCTGGATGATTATGTTTAATAATTCTCTAAGCCCTAATCGCGCTGACACCAATGCCTGGAGCTTACCCTGGGGGGCACTTTATAAGGGGCGCCCTGCAGAGGTGAGCGCAGCCACTTCTTGGGGTGACAGCGAAGGCTGAGAGGTGGCGGGAGCCCCACTTCAGAAGCGATCCCCCCACACAAAAAAGAAACCCCTGAGTAAGAGCAAAAGGCACCTCACGAACCGCAACCATGAATGGAACAGAAGGCCAAGACTTCTACGTGCCCATGTCCAACAAGACCGGGGTGGTGCGGAGCCCCTTCGAGTACCCCCAGTACTACCTGGCTGAGCCCTGGAAGTTCTCGGCGCTGGCTGCCTACATGTTCATGCTGATCCTGCTCGGCTTCCCCATCAACTTCCTCACGCTGTATGTCACCATCCAGCACAAGAAGCTCCGGACGCCTCTAAACTACATCCTCCTGAACCTGGCGATCGCTGATCTCTTCATGGTCTTTGGAGGCTTCACGACCACCATGTACACTTCGATGAACGGGTACTTTGTCTTTGGAGTAACAGGGTGCTACATCGAAGGCTTCTTTGCTACACTGGGCGGTAAGATTTCCAAGTGTTCAAAAATCTTCTGCCAGGAATTGCCCCAGATTGTAGGAGAGGGAGGGAAGATGCCCAGATGATCCTGGAAAAACATGATATCTGGAAGGGCCTTGGTCTGCTGCTGGCGTGGGCCAAGGCAGTTGCAGTGTTTCAGGGTGGGAGGTGAAGAAAGCGACAAATGACACTGCTTTTCTGATGTTATTTTGGTAGCCACCTGCTCAGTATTCTGAGAACAACAGTGCAGCAATGAAAAGCAACCAGTAGCAGATTTTGCAGTTGTTGGATTTGCACATCTTTTTGGCTCGCTTTCTGACTTGAGAGATGACAAATTTGTTCTTCCTGTTTCGTGGGGCTGAGTCTGCCATTCGCCCTGATGCGGTGCGTGGTGGTGCAGGCTAGCAAAGCTAGCCGGGCTTTGACCGAAACAGATGTTAAATAAAAATCGTGTGTCTAAGACCACCCTCCTCCATTCAGCGCAGCCTTCAGCCACAGGCAAGTTTTACTGGTTTGGTCCTTGTGGCGCAGGTTTTCTGGGAGTCTGTGGGTAGTGAGGGGAAATCCTGGGCTGGCGGGCACTCGCTGCATCTCCGAGTGGGACCGCAGGCGTGTAGGTGCAGGTGCTGTCCAGGATGAGTGGGGGGGATCCAGCCGTGGACCTCAAAACACAGCAGCAAAGTGGTTACTGCGAGCCAGCAGTGCAGGGAAGAGGTATATTCTCATGCCTTCCGACTGCGTCTGCTCCTGGCCTTTGTTCATCTCTCTTTCCGAGCCCTTGGTGGAGATTCACCTGCTGCCAGGGGTCTTCCTTGGCAGCAACAGCCCGAGGAGGCCTGGTGCTGCCGTCAGCGCATTTCTCTCCTCCCGTTGCTCAAAGTCCCTGCGTCTCTCTCCCTCTTTCTCCCTGGTGCAGGTGAAATTGCTCTCTGGTCGCTGGTCGTCCTGGCTATCGAAAGATACGTAGTGGTCTGCAAGCCCATGAGCAACTTCCGCTTCGGGGAGAACCACGCCATCATGGGCGTTGCCTTCACCTGGGTCATGGCCTTGGCGTGCGCGGCTCCCCCGATCTTTGGCTGGTCCAGGTAGGCAGGGTGCTGTGCCGGGCGCCCGGGGCCGCAGGAGCCGGCTGGCCGGCGGCTGGGCCGTGGCTCCCAGCCCGCCGCCTCCGCTGGCCGCTGACCTGCCCGGCTCACCTTGCAGGTACATCCCCGAGGGCATGCAGTGCTCGTGCGGGATCGACTACTACACTCTGAAGCCAGAGGTCAACAACGAATCTTTTGTCATCTACATGTTCGTGGTTCACTTCACAATCCCGCTGACCGTCATTTTCTTCTGCTACGGGAATCTTGTTTGCACCGTCAAGGAGGTGGGTACCTGCTAGTGGCGGCGGGCGGGGGGCCACCTCCATCCCCAGGGCTGGGAAGGGGCCCACGCCGGGCTCCAGGCTGGTGACAGAAAGGCCCGTCCGGGGGCCGGGCTGGCCCCCTGCGAAGGGGGTACTACCAAAATCCAGCTGTGCGGCTCAGCTACCCCAAACCTTACCCCGCGTCCCATGCCGGCGCAGCCCTCCCCGGCTCCATCACATTCCCCTTCCCTCCTGTCCACAGGCTGCTGCCCAGCAGCAGGAGTCTGCCACCACCCAGAAGGCAGAGAAAGAAGTGACCCGCATGGTCATCATCATGGTCATCGCCTTCCTGATTTGCTGGGTCCCCTACGCCAGCGTCGCTTTCTACATCTTCACCAACCAGGGCTCGGACTTCGGGCCCATCTTCATGACCCTCCCGGCATTCTTTGCCAAGACCTCCGCCGTCTACAACCCCGTGATTTACATCATCATGAACAAACAGGTAAGCGGCGGGATGCCAGCCCACCTCCTTTTTTCGTGTTTTGCTTTGGGACAGCTTACAGGGAGTTACGGCACCTCGAGGTACCAGTGGGCTGGGAGGGGAGTTTGCTGCCCGGTGACCTTCTGGCATGCCGGGGGGGTGGGGGGCGACCAGGCAGCTCGTCCTCGGCGTTGGCTGCACCTCCTAAGTGCCAAGCCCTCCCTGCCCGAAACGCCGCCGGCCCCGAGCGGCGGGGAGGGGGACCCCCCCGGCACGGTGCCCCCCGAGGAGCTCCGCCGCCCCGCAGCCGGGGGTGCCCGCCGTCCGCCCGCCTCACCCCCCCCCCCCCCCCGGGGGCTTCCCTCTCTTCCAGTTCCGTAACTGCATGATCACAACCCTCTGCTGCGGCAAGAACCCGCTGGGTGACGAGGACACGTCTGCTGGCAAGACAGAGACCTCCTCCGTCTCCACCAGCCAGGTCTCTCCCGCGTAGGCCCCGCCGGAGCGGCCAGTCCTCGGGGTGCGCCCCGCCGCCCCGGGAGCACGAACCCGGCCCCGCCGCCGCCACGGCCCCGCGGCGCGGGCTCCTCTCTCCTGGCACTAGGCTCCCTGGGCACAAGGCTGTAACTGTGCACACACGTTTTGGAATTAAAATGCAAAGGCTTAGCCCCTCCACTGGCGTAACTCCGTGCGTTTCTGTTGGCTTGCTGAGAGCTCGCGCCCCGCCCCGCTCCCGGCGCGGCCCCCCCCACCCCCCCCCCCGGGTCTGACGCCCCCCCCCCCTCTCCACCCGCCGTGCCCCCGCCGCCACGCGTGAGCCCCGGGCCGCGGCGGAGCCGCCCCACCCGCGCCTCCCTCGCCCCACCTCGACGGCCCGGCAAGGGCCGGGGCGCGTCCCGGGCTCCGCCGCCCTCCGACCGCTCGGCCCCGGGTGCAAGTCTGGCTGCCGCGAGGTGCCCCCAGCTCCAGCCCTGCCCCACCTCCGGCACGCCAGAAGCCCCGGGAGGCACCGGGACACCCCCCCCACCCCACCCCCGGGGGGGACGGGACGGGGTACCGGTGCGCGTGGGCCCCTCCGTGCCGCAGAGGTGGCGGCTGCGGGTGCTGCCCGGCGGGCGGGCGGCGGGGAGGGGGCCCCGCGGGGCGGCCGGGGGCGCTCGGTGCGGGCTCGGGGCGGGCTCGGTGCGGGCTCGGTGCGGGCTCGGTGCGGGCTCGGTGCTTGCTCCCGCAGGTACCCGGCGCGGCAGGGCGCACACGGTGCTCGCAGCCCCAGCAGCGGCCCCGCTCGGTGCGCCCCCCCCAGCGGGAAGCACCCCTGCCCCGTAGTCCCGCCGTTCCCCCCCCCCCCCGCGGCACCGCCGGGCCCGCCGCGGGCCGGGGCCGTGCCCCCCAGACACGCTCGCCCCCGCCCCCCCGCGCACCCCCCCCGTTTCACCCGCAGCCGGTTCGGCACCAGCCCAAGTAGGAGGTTTTGGCCCGCGCTTGTGCTTTTGAGGACCGATCGGTGCATCGCTAAGCTTCCCTCCGCGCTGTAGCAGGCAAGACGTGGGAGCATATGGCTCAGAGACGTCGACATATGTTTTAAGCACTACAAGATGGCATATTGCAATTGTAGCAGTGTTCTTCATTTTTATTTTTAGCTCAGTTATACAAATAAGATGTTTTTCTCGCTGTTCAGTGTTATCAACATTTGAAACTATTTTTGTACATTATTATCCTCTCTGATTTCTAATCCTATGCAGCTTTGCAAGTTCTAATAGGGAATGTATGGAACCCATGCAAGTTAAACCTTTAATAAAGAGCAATTTGCAAGTACAATTCTCTCATTATTTTTTTTTATCTATACTTCTGCATATTCAGTGAAATCTAAAGATTAGAGGTTTATGAATAATTCAGTGTTTAGGCTGATGTCTGATTCATGTTCTTCAAATCTGGGAGCTGATTTTGGAGGGAAGAGGAGGCAGGATTTGGTGTTTATTCGCTGCCCGTGAGGCTGTGCTCCACGGGAGCCCTGCCATGCTCGGCGCCGCGGTTTTCCCGCCTGCGCAGGACCAGCCCCAGCAACGTGCAGGTCATGGCCTGGCCCCGATCCTGCTGCTGCCGGCGGCGGCGGGGGCAAGCGAGGGTTTGGGACCCTCCTGCCCGCCCAGGCAGGCGCCGGAGGCATCGCGGTGCTGCCGGAGGGGTGACGGCCGGACCAGGAGCAGGAGGAGCCGTGGTGCCAGCCCCTGCAGCCCTCCCGCGTCCCCGCCGTCCCCTTCCTGGAGAGTTCGGAGATGGATGGAAATGAAGCAGGGACGGGCTGGTGGTGCTGGTCCGGGGGGAGCTGGGCATGCGGGGCCCTGGGTGCCTCTCCCAGCTCCTTGCTCCAGAGCTGGGTGCTGCCGGCGCCTCGGGCCCCTGCCAGGACCCGGCCCCTGGGCTCAGCACACGGGCGCAGACCTTGACGAAGGTCTTCCTGGGCAGCGCGTGGCACGTCCACCGACGCAGCAGCACGTCCGTCGCGCCGGGCCGCCAACCAGCCCTGCCGCCACGTCACCCCGGCCCTTCCTCCGGCTCTCACAGGCCACGCGTGCAATCCCCTCGCGACTCCTGCGTAAAGAGGAAGGGGCTGACACGGTGCCCTGTGGAGAAACACAGTGGTCCCCGGGCCGGGGACACTCACGCTGTCCTCGCGAGCACAGGCAGAACAGGAGGGAGCACAAACACCCTACCCTGCTGCAACAGCGGGGCAAGTGTCCACAGCACCACTGGAGGATTTATTTTTAACACAGAAGCGTCCCGCTCTAAACCCTCTGCTTGGACGGGCACCCTCTCCCTCCAGCCCCTCACAAAGTTTTGGCAAAGGGCTCTTGGGTTCCCAGTCACCTGCTCCCACCTGGGCCGCAACCAATTAGCAGCTGTTAGCCAGCCCCTGCAATTAGGGTGCTAATCAGATAAATTAGCTGAATTGAGGCGAGTCCATGAGTGAGGGCGGTGGTGCTGTGAGGAGGGCCGGGGCTGCTTTTGGGTGGATTTGTGCAGCTATGGAGGCTCAGCTGGGTAAGGGGTTTGCGAGGGGGGGGTCTCCATGGAGCCGCGGCTCTGGTGGCCACGGTCCCTGCGAGGGTGAGCGGGGTCGTGGCTGCTTGGCTTCTGGGGGGGCTTTGCAGCCCTTGGGGGCACGAGTGCCTTGGGGCCGGGCCGGTGTCCCCAGCCGTGCCCCTCGCCTCTCCCAGCAGCCGGAGCTGCGGGGGCAACTCAGCTCCCCACTCCGCTGGCCCGTGGCCGGCGGGCCCCCCACCCCCCCACCCTGCACATGGTCATCGAGGCGCTGCGGGCCCAGGACCAGCGGAAAGGCGTCTCCGTCATCGCCATCAAGCGATTCATCCTGGCCAAGTACCCCGCTGTGGACCCCGTCCGCCTCAAGTACCTGCTGAAGCAGGCGCTGAGCAAGGGGCTGAGCCGCGGGGACCTGGTGCGGCCCCCCAATTCCTCCGCCATGGGGGCCACCGGCCGCTTCAAGGTGAGCCGAGGGGCTGCCGCCCCTGCGGTGCTGGGGCTGGGGGCTGCCTGGCCACGCTTCCACCCCTCTTTCGCCCCCAGTTAGCCCCTGAGAAGCTGCGGCAAAAGCAGCGGCCGGCCCAGGCGGAGCCTGACAGAGAAGAAGCCACGAAGCCGGGACGGAAAGGGACCACCAAGCCCCCCAGGGTCCCCACGGTGGGCGCGCGGCAGCGAGGTAAGGGGCCAGTGGTGCCGTGAGCTGCACCAACGCCGTGGAGGGGCCCTGCGTGGGCTCACCCCACACCCCTTCCCCGCCAGGCGCCGCGGAGGAGAAGCCGACAGCGGTGAAGCAGAAGCGGAGCGCAAAGCCCCTGGACGTGAGTACGGCCCCGGGGTGAGCGGGGCGCCTGGCGCCACGGCAGCCCCCTGAGCTGTGCTCTCCCCTCCAGGCCCGGCCGCCGGCAGCCGCCGAGCCCAGGAGCGATGGAGCAAAACCCCCGCCAGCTGCCGGCCGCCCCCGGGCCCCCGGCAAAGGGCGTCCAGTGCCCCCCACGGCTCCAGCTGCTGCGGGTGCAGGAGCGGGGGATGGCGGCGGCGCTGCGGGTGCTGGGGTGAAGGCGCCCCGAAAGGTCCCAGCGGGAAAGAGCAAGGGGAAGGTGCCCAAGGGGGCACAGCAAGATGCCCCCAAGCCGAGTGGGGGTGAAGGCAAAGCGAGGAAGCCCCGGGTGACCCCAGGAGCCGGCCAGGCTGGGGTGCGGAAGGCAGCCCCCCCCGCAGCAGGCAGGAAGGCACCATAGGTGGTCCTGGACAGCCCCCCCCCGCCCTGCCTTCGGCTGCCCCCAGCCCTCGGGGTTTGGGTTGGTTTTAGTCCCCAGGACAGGTTTTAACTCCACGTTCACCTCTCGCTAATAAAGCTTCCCCACTCCCTGCGTGTAATGGCGTGGCCGCTGCCCTCTTCGTGGGTCTCTGCCCCTGCGCTCCTGCCTCCCTGTGCCAGAATCCCCCAGCCCTGGCCACGTCCCACGCGGCGTGGTGGTGAGCTGCTGCTGCAGACACCCCGCTCTCACGGGGGGCTGCCCTGTCTGCACCCACATGTCCCCGGCGGCACGCCTGGCCAGCCGGCAGTGCCCGGGGGTTGCCAGGCTTTGGGGGGCCGGGGGAGATGGGCTGGGTGGGGGGGCACCCCCCCCCCCCCCCGGGTGCTGCGAAGCTCAGGCTTGGCCCGGCCCCGCCGTGGTGCCCGCAGCCCCGGTGTGGGGTGGGTGTCGGGCCCTCTGCCCTCCTGGCTGCCCTTGTGCTAATGACCGGCTGAGCTGGGATTACAGGAGTGCCGGGGCAGCAGGTCTGGGCGCATGCCGTGGGCCAGGGTCCCCAGCGCTGGAGGGGGGGCTGCCTGTGCTCTGACTACGGTAAGAGGAACGTAGAAGTGGTTTAGGGCTCAGAAAAGCAGTTTTGGGTGTTTGCTGTAGACCGCAGCATTGCTTGTGCTCTTGTTATCTACCAGTGTTGGTTCCCACCTCTAAACCTGTCTTGCTAGCTCCTGTGGGTCAGCTTATGAACGCTTTCATTTAATAGCTTCAAATGCCTGAATTTCTCCTGCTCTGCGCAGAACGGAGCCCTTCTGAAGGTCACTCCGATAATGCAAAGGGTTACAGTCTTCCTGGGCAGGAGAAAATAAGTGGAAGTAAAACTCTCTTCCTAAAGAGGATTTTGCTAATCTTCAGCTGGCTTTGCCAATGCCCTCCAAGGCTCCTGGCCTTGCTCTGGGGCTTAAGCAAGAGCTGAGCAAACTAACTTCTCTTTAAACTTCAGCCTTGGCCATGTTGATCCATCTTTAATGGAGCTGAAACTCGTGTGCCCCCAGGGACAGGGTTGGGGTTGCTGCAAGCAGAGCTCACCTGACCCTCCCGTGAGGGTTAGCCTCTCAAAGTACCGCTCGTTCATATGGAAGCGTCCCGTAGCAGAACGGGGCAGGAGCTGCGTCCCCTCTCACCAGGCACTTGTGCAACGTGAGGCTCTTTGCTTTGAGAGAAGCCAAATCATTTAATGGTTGGATTTAACTTTTGTCAGAATCAAATTTCTGGTGGGGAAAGAAAATCCCTCCGGTGTCTGAAAAGAGCGGCTTTTGCTGGGGGAGGTGGAAGGGAGAGGATTTAGCGATGCCATGGTTATTATTAAGGCCTATGGGCTGCGGCTGGTGTGGGCGCAGAAGCCTCGAGGGCTGGCGCTGTGCTCCCCGGGGGCTGGGAGAAGACAACGCCTCGTGTGCTGACGGCCCCGGGCACCGCTGTGGTGTCACTGGTCCCTCCTGCGCGGCACAGCATGCCGCCGTCGGGGTGCCCGGCTGCGTCCCCGTATCTCCCCGCTCCCGGCGCGGTTCCCACAGCCGTGGGGCCGGGCAGCGGGGGCTCTGCAGCCCCGGGGCGAAAACCCACCTCGCGGGGGAGCGAGGGGGCTGCGGGCTGAGCTGCCAGCCCCGGGCACGGCCCGCGGGGCTCGCGCGTCCTCTGCGAGCACAGGGGCAGGAACTCCACTGCGCCGAGGGTTTCAGCACCTTGTTTTATTACAAAGATAGGCTTTTCCAAGAGTCTGCCACTTCCACTACACAGCAGGTAAGGGCACTACACCCACAACACGTGCCAAAGGTTAAAAACATGTTACAAAGGGCTCGGGGGTTCAAGGCAACACTACAAACCCTCAAGCTTCTGCTCCGTTAAAAGTTGTTCCTTTCAAATGGCTGTAGCAACTACTTTTTTTTTTTTTTTTTTTTTTGCTTTGGAAAAAATTAAATAATAAAGCAATAGGCTGCAATACATGGCCCAGTCACATCACCTGGAGGCAAACGATACTCACTGCCTGTATCCTTTCCTTGTAACAACACGGGGCTATTGCTCCATGGCCCTTTCCCCACCTCCACTCAAACTCAACATTCTCTGCTACCTTGGTCCTTCTCACTCTCGCCTTCCCTGTGCTGGGCCTGCCTATATCTCTGGCTGCTATTCACAGTTTCTAAAAAAAAAAAAAAAAATTGAAAAAAAAAAAAATTCAAGATTTTTTTTGTGAAATCACTTTCAAAATAAAATGTAGCCCAGCTACATTCTTAGAGTTTCTATTCTGAAGCCACATCCTCAGCAAAGACATTGAAACCTCCACAGTGTATGTACTTTTTCTGTAGTTCTCTTAAAAAACCCAAACCAACAAACAAAAAAAAAAAGAAAACAAAAAAAAACCCCACAAAAATCTCTGTTTTTTCCCTTCCCACCCCCATTTTAACATACTGATTAAAGTCTATAATTTGTTTTAAAATAGATATCTATATACACATACACAATTCTGATGTTCTGATTTCTGACAAGTGTGGCATTACTGGAAACGATGGGATGGAGGCCACCTGTCCATGGCAGCGAGTCACCCAGGAGGAGTTGTGGTGGACCAAAGTCATCTAATACCAGGTTGCATCCTTGCCAGCTGGATGAGTCGCGAATGCTCACCTTAGACCCTGCCTGGAGTGAGGTAGTAACTTTTTTTTCTGCTTTTTTTTTTTTTTTTTTTTTTTTTTTTTCCCCCCCCTTTTCTATTTGGCAGTTTGACAGTAACGCGGTGGCTGTGGCTGGGTTTATCTCCCACGGGCAGGTTGCCTGGGCTGGCTCTGGGCAGGTGGCTCTGCCGAGGGGCCGGTGTGACGCGGGGGGCTCAGCGCGGTCGCGGCTCCCCGGGCTGCAGGCAGGACGAGGTGCCTGCAGAAAGGGGAAGGGGCCACCACGCTGGGACGGGGGGTCGCCCCAGCGCGGACGCCGCGGGACGGCGGGGGTGGCTCTGGGTCTGGGACGAGCTCCGTCTGTCCGCGCAGCGCGACCCTGCTCGCCCACCCCAGTGGAAGTGTGGGGCGCTCTCTACCTCTGTTTGCAGGCTGGGGTGCTGGAGCTGCTCTGCTGGCCTGCGGGAGCGAGAGCACCGTGCTGCCAGGGGCAGGGGCTCCAGTCCCTTTGCCTTTACGGGCCGGAAAAAAGACCGGGCACGCAGCGAAACTGCGGTCCCTTGGCTGCTCCCAGGTGGCAACCACGGTGGGCTGGGTCCGCGGCAAGCAGAACAAGCTGCTCGAGGAAGACGCCTCTGTCGCACTGGCCTTGTTTTGGGTGGCAGTCGCAGGGAGGTGCCGGAGCGCGTGGGGCCGAGGGAGGGGAGATGCTACCCGGCGTTTTGCCCTGCGCGCGGCAGGAGCTGACCCGTTGGCGTGAGCGGCGTTCCCGGGGCCGGGCCGGGCGTGTGCGCGGCGGGGAGACCGGGGCGCGGGGCACGGGTCCTGCCCCTCGCCCGCTTCTTCTGGGCAGGAGCCACGGCCGGGACCAGCTGGCTGAAAGGCGGCAGGTACCTGCCGACCCACTGCCCCTCCAGCTCGCCGTGCGCGTGGGAATGGGAATGCGGGGAAGGGGGAGCACCCCCCCGCCGTGCCTAACACGCAGCGCGCTCCCGCCGGCTCCGCAACAGCTGCCCCTCAAGGGATAAAGTGCTTTCACCATGCCTTAGCTACTCGGGAGGCAACTGCTTTGCCTCAGCCCCGAGTTCCCCATGTTGCCCAAGTCTCAGATGGAAGAGTGGTTATGTTTACACATACAGTACAAAAATTAAAAGGCACGAAAATACACAGAATGCAGCAGATAGTGAACAGCTGATAGAGTCCCTAGTGCTGGAAAAACAAGGATGTCGGAGGAGTGGTGTGGAAGGGAGCTCAAGCGTTGCTCCGCTGGCCTTTGCTGTCTCTGCCCGTTGCTCCCTGAGGCTCCCTGCTTTGCGTCTGTCCGTACGGCTTCTGCAGCCCCGTCTCTCGTTCTGAGGAACCCCAACCGGGGCTGCAGATAGCCGCTGACTGCTCGGGCGCGCGTCAGAGGGAAGCGCTGAACTGAGCTTGCCACGAGCGTCACGTCTCCATTTCTGGCGGGCAACAGCAAATAAATTATGGGTGCCACAGTGCAGAGCAGAGGGGGTTTGAGCTGCTCGGAAAGGTGTCTCGTGGCTTCTTGTGAGGTGAGGGAGCCCTTCAGCCGCGGGCCAGGCCACCCCCACCACGAGGCTGGTTTGAGGGCGATCCACGGTGCAGCCGCGGGTGAAGGCGGGTCCCTACGGCACGGCGCTGCGGAGGAGGTCACTTCCAGGGCTGCAGTCGGCCTAGGCTTCGCTGCAGCACTCGTAGATGTTGTCCTCCATGAGCGCAATCACCTGCTCGAACTTGTGCTGGAGCTGGGTGCGCTTCGTCGTGGGGTTGGCGTCCAGGGCGGCCACGATCTGCAGGAGACGCGGGCAGGTTGGCAGCTGAGGCAGTGCCCACCCCCAGCCCTGCTGAGCCCAAATCCCGGCCGGACCTCCCGTGGGAGAGCCCACCCCGCCCCACCGCCCAGCACCCCCCGGCTGCTCTCGGGCAGAGCCGAGTCCCTGCACAGGGGGTGGGAGACGGGGGGGATGCAGCCGAAGAGTGTAATAATAAAGCTCACGGGGCAGAGCTAGCCCCCCGCACGGGGTGCAGGGGCTCAGGAGCCAGCCGGGGCCAGCGAGTTATTTTGGGTGTGGAGTGCATCGGCATGCTCTGCCCCTCTGACAGCATCTGTGGGTTTACACACCGGGCAGCCCGGCGCAGCCAAACGCTGTTAAAATCAGCCAGGAATAGCTGGCCTTCTCTTCCAAGAAGCCGTCAGCCAAGGGATAGGGGAGCAGGTGCATCTGTGTGTGTGCCTGTATTACATATGTGCGTGGGATTATGCAAAAAACAATAATCCCTTTTCTGTGGGACTGGATGCAGGCGTCTGACCGCTCAGCTAT